CTCTGAATTTTCTTTTGTTGACAAAGAGGCTAATATTGTTGCTGCCCCGGCAACAGCTGATGGGTCCCCAGACTGTGCCTCAATAATCCCTTTTATAGGAGCAGTTTGGGCTTCTAAAATGCTTACGGAAGAAGGTATGCCTGGAGCAGCTAAGTTATCGTTGGTGAGCTGCTGAAAAATCTAAGTTTCTGTCAAGGAATTAAATCAGTTCTAAGATGGAACAAATATCATAACAACATCAAAGTTCAATAATGAAACATGCAGCAAGATGACACTGCATAATTTGGGAGGGAGAGGAATATCAATCTTTGTAAAAAAATGTGTTAGACGTGTTAAATAAAAAGGATACATAAGCATGATTTCCAGTAGTTGTGAAAATCAATTCATCGCCTGCATTTAGAATTAAACTAGCATTTTTACTGTAAATCTTCCCATTGACCTGGACAGAGCCTTTTCCTCCTGTAATTTCTAGGAAGGCAATAGAAGTGCCATCACTCTACATTGGAAAAAATAAAATGAGCACTCTCGTAAACATGCAATAAAAAATGCGAACAGCAAGTTTGCAAATAAGTATTGCAAAGATCCATACCTCTATGTGCTTCACTTTGCACAAAACATTGCTAATATTGGGATCTTTAAGACATAAGTTACACTGACGGCTTTGGCCAATGGTAAATAGTGTGCCACACAGGACCAAGTGAGGATTCTGCGGATGAATTGAACATTAATAAGATTCAATATCACGGTACTTTAGCATGAAAACAACCATAACGCATAAAAATCCATATAAGGAGGCCAATTAGCTAGTGACCTAATGATCCATCCTTCGTTAAGGAAGTTCAGAGTCTAGTTGGTGCATCTAGAAATGGAGCAGAATGAATATAGGATGACAACGGATTACCTACCCAATACTATGCAGCCAGTGGATTAAATAATAAGTTGATGAGATTCTCCTTTGGAAGACACCCAAAAGGCAAAGAAAAATAAAATAAAGGCTTCCCTAAGACTTTTTACTAAAATGGAAAAAATTACTTAATCTTGTTGGCTAGAAAAGAGAGGGAACAAATTACCTGGTTCATTCATCCCACATTTGAGAAGGAAATGACACAAATAAAAAAAAAAAAATTAGACCTCACTACGACGGCAAGCTGACTTACTGATATAGCCTAAAAGTAATTTTTCTACCAATTTGCCAAGCGCAACAATCATTTGGGGCACTTGGTATTCTACCAACAATTGAGTACGTTCAAACCCAGTACAAATAATAAAGTTTCCTAACCTAACAATAAGGAAACCTCCTCTCCTAAATTCCCAGTCTTTTCTCCGAAGAAAAACTCCCATTGCATTTAGTAAGACTAAATCAATAGAGTTTCCAATGGACTTAATGGACCCACAGAAAATTAACCGCAGGGTTAACTAGTCTGTTTTCCAAACCCAATCATATCATTGCTGAAACAGCAAGTTGTTTAGTAAAGTTTTCAAGACAGCCAGAATTTGCAACCACAAATTCATAATGTCAGGCATAGTTTTTGCCAAGTCAAAAAGTCAAGTATAGTATTTGCCAAATAGACCAACAAGGGAGAACTGATACACCCATTCACCTTAAATGATTTCAGATTTTTTCTCTAATGGAAAACTTTGAGTGCATTCAAGTTCAAGTCTCTCACTTAAAATAGTATTTCAAATTGACCTAAACGACTATGAACTCCAAGATTCCACTCCATGATTGGAACCAAAGTATGTCATTGTTCCACCAGCAAATTATGTAGTAAGACTTCATTGATATCCAAAATTCAAGTGCACAAAATTTTAAAATCAGTCCAACATTAACAGTTCATGAAAAAAAACCCATTTTCTTTTTAATTTCACGTATTGGCTAAAAGACCAAGAATTCTGATACGAATTTCTAATCCTTGCCCGATTAAACACGGAGATCAAGAACCAAAAGCCAGCCCATAACTAAAAAAAAAGAATACAATTTCAGAATACATACCTGAGAGTGCTGGGAAAGAAGCTTTCCCCACGGGACTTTAGAACCTGATTTCGCTGGTTTCGACTTCTTCTTAGCCCGTCCGGTAAACCCTGCACCAACCACCTTCGCTTTCTCCACATCCACAACATCTTCACCTACTTAACCAAAAACATCCCCCACATCAAAATCCCATACAAAAAAAAAAAAAAACCAAACCAAACCCACAAAAAAAATAGAACCCAAAAACCCAAAAACCCAAATGTGAAATCAATCGAGGATCGCACCTAAGGACCGCGGAGATACCAAAGTACCGTTCTCCAGATCAGCCTCTGCAGACTTATCGGGGAGAGACGCATCAACGGTCTTAGCCACATCAGATACCCGTAGATCAGAAGACCGGAGCTCCGTTACCCGTGAGTCCGAACCGGATTCCTTAGGCAGGCCTAGGGCTTTGTCTAGCGGCCCAGAAACCGCAGCTCCGTTGGTAGACGACGACGCCGGCTCAGATGCCTAAAGAAAAAACAAAACAAAAATCTCAGATTCAAATCTAAACAAAAAAAAAAAAGATTTTGACACGCATGCAAATTTAAAACCCTAACGAAGAAAAATAATTGGATTCTTAGAAGAAAAAAAAAATGAAGAACCTTTGATCGTTTACTAGAAGTAGCAGGGGACGTAACGGGAGAGGAAAGGGGGCGTTTGGAAGAGGAAGAGCTCCGTCGCGTTTCAACCATCTTCTTGTTAAAGAGGAAGGGAAGGGGTTTGGGGTTTTTACTCTCTGGGTTTTCTCTGATCCGAAAAAGAAACGATCTTTGGCCCTTGGAAGAAAATCAGAAAAATATAACGGCAAAAAGGAAAAGAAAATAGTAAAAAAGGCTGAATGATTGCGGGGAGATGAGGTTTCAAGGTGGCTGAGCACCTTTAGTTATTTATAGCGTATAAAATTGAAAAAAAATAAAAAATAAAAAATAGGGGTTTATTAGATTTATTTTCTTTTTTGGAGGTTACGATTCTTAGGAAGCGGTGAAATGAGTTGCTGGGTTTCGAGGGTAGTCTGATAATCTGGCAGTGTTAAAAGAGTTAACTTTTTAGAGTGTAACAAAAAAGTCAATTTATTTTGAGAATTTTTTTTTATTACTTATACATTAATGGTGTTTGGTTGAGTTATTATTCAGTGTATTCAACAAAAAAATTTATCAGGAATTTTTAGCCGAAAAAGGAAAAAAATATTTTATTAAATTCTTTGTTGACCAAGGGACACTCATTAATATTTTGTTGTAGTTAACTTATAGATGAAGGGATTCAAGAGAGGTTTGCGCATTAAATTACATGAATTAAAAATTTTACATGTAAAAGTAACTTTAGTTTTTGTTCGTAACAATAATAATAATATATTATTAAAATAATTTAATAATTATATAAATAAATATATGGTTGTATAATATGATTTTATATTTCTTTTATTTGTGATTATAGACAATTTTCTACGTCTTCTTTGTTTTTGTCTGAGATGAAGGCTTGAATATTGAGCTAAGCATTTTGTTTTAATTAAAAAAAAAACATTATAAAAAAATTAGTACCATCATTAAATGTATTATAAATTTTAAAATATTTTATTGATATAATTTTTTTACCTCATAATTGCATACTAAAACGAAATATTTTAATGTTTTGAGAATATAGCCTTTATAAAATAATTTTTTTAAGTTTAACCTCAATTAAATTCTTTTTACTTCAAATTAATTAATTACTAATTTATTTGTTTATTATTAAATATTTAATTTAAAATCAAATGATAGTAAATAAAAAAACTTCAACTTTAAAATAAATTTTTTAAGAAAATTTAAAATTTTAATAAATATAAAATAATAACCCTTTAAGATTTATCGATATTATGTGATATGTTGGTAAAATATCGGATTTCAATTTCAATGATAAGATTTCATACCAAAAAAGAAATTGTGTACCCTTTTTTTAGAAATAATTAAAAAAAAAACGCTGGCTTCATGGACTGGAATTTATTCAACGATATTGGACATGCTGTTGTGCTGTGTGCACATAAAGGGAAAAAGGTCGAATCAAATGAGAGAAGAACAAAATGTCTGCTGTTGGAGTGTTTTCAGTCTGTTTGCTTGTTGAATGAATGTGATGAATAGAGGCGGCCCAACTAGAAAGTCCTGATGGCCGAGGCTCAAGTTTTGGACTGACCCAAGACACTGCACCAAACTATTTTAGATTGTTCGTTGGATGAACAATCTAAAATCCATCGCTTTTTTTTTTTTCTTTTACAAATAGGACAGATGCCCAAAAGAAAATTAGCAAGCAACACTTCTACCCATTAACAGGTTTATGATTCTTTATGGATGTTCTTCGAAAGTTGCCAACAATGCATGTCGGCGCATCTCCATTTGACCATCCAGTTAGCCAAAAAAAAAAAATCCATAATTTTTTAGAAAGAATAAAGGTTTCTACACGATACGGTTTTTATTCATAACAAAAAGTAAACATTCCATATTTGTTTGGAATAAGAAGTTATTTTCATTGTCTTAAAAATAGAAAAATATTGCTACCAAATAACAATTACAAACTATATCAATAACAACAAATAAAAAATTTACAATACACATATATCGTTATTTAAATCACATCTCCCACATAACTTTATTTATTAACGTGATGAAAAGCTATATTTTTTAATCCAACCAATCTTAATCCGAGAGCATATTTGATGTCTAACAAAACTTATTCACCGATATTTTCTTTTAAATTCTTTCTTTCTTTCTGAATAAAATATATATAAGCCATATTTAATTGGTTAATTGTCATGAAAATTTTTTTGTTGAATAATAGCAACTGAATAAACCTCGCATCCTGATCCAATTAAGCAATTCAAACTGAAAGAATCGGATATTGCTTATCTTTTTTCCTCTTAAAAAATAAAACAAAAATTTTTTTTATCTATTTCACGGTTTATCACAGGATGCAAACCGTTTAAAAGTCACTAGGGGGTTGTAAAATTTAAAAGACAAAGGAGCCGTCCACGACATATCTGATCTAATCCTAATAAGTTTTTAATTCAAGTTTTTAACTTCGCGGCGGGTCCCGGCATCTTCCGACAGCTGTCTTCAAATTTCGTGTCGGAGAACAAATCACACCCTTAGCTCATACTGGTTCTGTGATATGTTTTGGATCACAGAAAAACGCGTTTTTCATCCTTAAATAAAACCTCTGAAACCTCACTCGAAATACCTCGAATCCAAATCCTAGGTTTCTTACTTCTCAATTTTCCAGTCCGGCATTGTTTGCGGTTGAACCGAGACCAGATCGGGTAAAGAACCGGAAGATGATAGACAAGTGTTTGGGAGCTCAAAGATCTAGAAAGATCCAGAGAGCTGTCCGTCACTGTAAGGTCACGATTCTCTGCCTCGTCCTCACCGTGGTTGTCCTACGCGGCACTATCGGAGCCGGGAAATTCGGAACTCCGGAGCAAGACTTCGTCGAGATACGCGACCACTTCTATTCCCGCAAACGCGCCGAGCCGCATCGCGTCCTTGAAGAAGTCGAAACGACGTCGTCCGATAACCAAGCAGCCACCGACGCCGACACAAACAATTACAACGAGTTCGACATAAATAAGATCTTAATCGACGGGGAATCCGACGACCCGAAACCTGACCCCAATAAACCCTACTCGCTCGGGCCCAAAATCTCCGATTGGGACGAGCAACGATCTAGATGGCTGATAGAAAACCCTAATTACCCAAATTTCATCGGTCCAAACAAACCAAGGGTTCTCTTAGTCACCGGTTCATCTCCCAAACCTTGTGAGAACCCTGTCGGTGATCATTACTTATTGAAATCGATCAAGAACAAGATCGATTACTGTAGATTGCACGGGATCGAGATATTTTACAACATGGCGCTTTTAGATGCTGAAATGGCAGGGTTTTGGGCCAAATTACCTTTGATTCGAAAGCTTTTGCTTTCGCATCCGGAGGTGGAATTCCTCTGGTGGATGGATAGTGATGCAATGTTTACCGATATGGCATTTGAGGTACCTTGGGGAAGGTATAAAGACTCGAACTTGGTTATGCACGGATGGAATGAGATGGTTTATGATCAAAAGAATTGGATTGGGCTAAATACTGGAAGTTTTTTGTTGAGGAATGGCCAATGGGCCCTTGATCTTCTTGATGCTTGGGCTCCAATGGGTCCTAAAGGGAAGATTAGGGAAGAAGCAGGGAAGGTTTTGACGCGGGAACTCAAGGATCGACCTGTTTTCGAAGCAGATGATCAGTCTGCAATGGTTTATTTGTTGGCTACTCAAAGGGGGAAGTGGGGTGATAAGGTTTACTTGGAGAGTGCTTATTATTTGCACGGTTATTGGGGGATCTTGGTTGATAGGTATGAGGAAATGATTGAGAATTATCATCCGGGTTTGGGTGATCATCGTTGGCCGTTGGTGACTCACTTTGTGGGTTGTAAGCCTTGTGGGAAGTTTGGGGATTACCCGGTTGAGAGGTGCTTGAAGCAGATGGATAGAGCATTCAATTTTGGTGATAATCAAATACTTCAGATTTATGGGTTTACTCACAAGTCTTTGGCTAGTAGAAGGGTGAAGAGAGTACGAAACGAGACTGGTAATCCGCTTGAGGTGAAAGATGAACTTGGACTGCTTCATCCAGCTTTTAAAGCGGTTAAGGTATCCTCTTCTTGATGATATAGGCTGTCTATGAGATCATATGCTGCTAATTAATAAGTTACGACGTTCAAATGTTGTGTGAAGTGCGAATTTTATGTTTTAGGTCTGGGGAAATAGTATTCTTTTGTTCCTTATCTGTGTTTAAAATTAAAAGTTCTTAATGCTTTCCCAAGGAAAACAGTGCCGATGAGTTTGTCTGCAGCTTCAATTTTGTAGAATACATCAAACTTGGATCTGTCATTATCACTTGAATTTGTTAGCCGTAAAGTGCTGCATTGTAATTCAATCAGTCGGATAAATACTAATAGAAGTATAATATTGCTGCATCATGAATCATTTTATTGCTGTCAGTACCTGGTATAATTACTTATTGGTATGATAATTAAATGAAAATTTGTGGCTTCGGGTACCCCATTCTTTAGAAGCATTAGCAGGACGAATAGGCTGGTTTCAATTTAAATTTGTGGTTAAGTAGCTGTTTACATGGTTCGAGAACCAATGTCATTAGACTCTCTCTCTCTCTCTCTCTCTCTCTCTGTGTACCCCTTCTTTATTTTGGACTTTTGAGGTTAAGAATGAGGAGGAAAAGTTTATATAGTTTACGTTGAAAGTATGAATGAATTTTATTTTTTGAATGAAAGAATTTTAATTTCAAATATTCTGCTAGAACACCATGCCAAGTTACTGGGAGCATATAAGGATTAGACTAAGGAGAAGATAGAGTGGACGATATACGATGCAATTTCAATCCTAGTTTTCTTCAGAGCTAACTAGTCAGAGAAACATAGTTGATAAATTTGTTTTATTGGTTGAGTTCCGATTTATGGTCTTAACATCCTTCAAAAAAATGGTTGATAATGGAGATAATTACGGCAGAGACAATGTCCCTGCTAAGGTTCTCTGTTCAGGGAGGATTATGTTAAAACGTAGTAAGCACTGTTCATGGATGACAAATTCAAACCTGTGGGATTCATCTTTTGAATTAACCTTTAGAAAACAGTTAGAACAAAGAAAAACTACAGGATTGAGAAACAACCAAAAAGTAAAAAGTTCAACTACAAAACTTTCCAATAAAGACCTTGTAAAATTGAAAACACATCAAAACCATTAACTTGTGAGAAGCAACAGAGAAATAATCTGGACATGTGTTTCTTTTTGGACAATCTGCTAAACAAATGAACAACTTGATGGTATTAATTTACACGACATTCAGAAGACTAAAACTCTCTGATGATGATAAGAAGGGAAAGACAAAATCAAATCCTTTTTTTTTTTTGCAGTGTGTAAAATAACATTACTAGGTAACAACATAAGATCGTGATATGCTTCAAAGGAAAACAAGCTTTAGATTTAAAATGGCCAAAAACGCAGCCCATGCCAAACAAGGCTTAACCAAGTCACCAGCTATGGGATTCACCTCTCTGAAATCCCTTGAACACCCAACCAGAGCCCCAAACACCGCCAAGAGCACAACCAACCCGACCCAACTGGCTCCCATCCAAAACACAATCGGAAGCCAAGCCAAGCTCAATCCTAGCTGAGCCAAATAAAGAGATAACGCAGTTGGCCTCAAGTGGAACCCGCCTTCAGCCCAAACAAGCCAAGCTGAAAGACCCATTACGAAGCTCGAAGCCAGGCAAGTTATATGTATAAGCCACAAAGGGGGGAACCAGAAGGGTTTTGCTAGAGCGCCATAACTATGACCTGAACCAAACAAGTAGATGTTTAATAAGGTGAGAAACAGAGGGAACGAAACTGCTATAGCTAGCGATCTTAGGCCACGTTTGGCCATAGCCATTCTCTCTTCTCGCCTGCTTGCTCTATTTATTTCGTTGTTGTAGGCTTTCTCGTTGGAGATGGTGGTGTTGGTAATGCCAGGGTCATCCCTGAAACGTTGTTTGAGATTTTGGGATTCCATGGAAGAAAGGAAGGGAAAAATGGAGCTTGAGTTTACGATAAGGAAGGGATTTCAGGTGGGGTTTATATAGAAGAGAGCGTGTTTTCGGGGCTAAATTTATTTGGAATGTAGGAAAAGAGTGACAGGTGGGCGGAGGAAGTGTTGGGGAGTGGATATTGGACAAGGAAGGTCACACGTGGATGAGAAAGGAGGCCTTTCGTTTCGGGGCGGCTCTTGTCTAGACAAAATCTGGGTGTTTTAGTGCTTTCGGGGGGAGACAGCTTTCATCAATTTGTAACTGGATTACATCTATTTTGCCAAAAAGATAATAATAATAAAGAAAGAACTGGATAAGTTCTTCTGCAATTAAACACTTTCGGATTTTGGTTTTGTCTGAAAAGCTGCCACGTTTTAAGCAGGACAATTTTTTTCTGGGTTTTGATACTTTTTGGTTCCTGTTTGTTTTCCTGCACAATTGTTGGTTGATATGATCATATGAAATAATGAGCCTTAATTAATTCTTTTACTTCAGCTGGTGCAGGCAGCAATGAAACCTGATAAAAGAATCAGAAATAATGACAGGGTTCAGCCCGCAATTGCTTAGGAAAAAAAAAAGGGCTTTCTTTCCTTTATTGGGTATGATTTTTCTCTTTTTAATAAATTTTATGACTTTCAATATGGATTTAAGTCTGAAAATTGATCTACGTATAAATACTTGTGGAAAAAAAATTTGCTAATTGAATAAAACAAAAAGCAAAAACTGATGATATATGGAGCTGTCCTTTTTTTGGTTTAGCCAAATGCAACTCAAACCAACCTTGGATATTAAATTAGGCTTCATAGACCCCTCAAACAGTACCAATCTTCAGTCTATGCCCAACCCATTACAGGACCGCAGCAGAACAAATCAAACGGTCCACAATCAAACACGTGAACCCAACTCTTTCCAAAAACATTTTCATGACCGTTCATTTCATCCGGTTGTTTTCTGAAACTCCAGTGCTCCAATTTCTGTGTTGGCCCGGTTATTCGTTCTTATTTATTAAGATGACAGGTAAATGGGTTTTGGAGGAGAAACTGAAAAATGGATTACAATAGCTTGAAAGGAGAAACTAGGCCGCTTGTGTACCCAGAGCTGGTTTCCTTTATTCTGCTATTCTCTGTTTTGTGCTTCTGTAAACCGGTTACTTATGCTTCAATTTTTTGCTATTTTAGGGAAATAAAATTGACGAAAAACCAACTCTGAAAATTATACTTAACAGATGTGAAAGCAAATCTTTTGCATAAAAACTGTCTAAATTATAAGTCCTACAAAACAGAATAAGTACTCTGCAACCCTATGTAATTGGCTCTCCTTTTTCATTCGATGCAGTGAACATATCATTAAATATTCGGCACCATCCATTTACCTAAAAAAAAAACCCTCGCTATCACCCATATTGGAGGGATGATGTGACTGTATGATTCGCCACTGTAGTCGGGCTCAAAGCTTCCATCCTCCATATGGTAAACACCCATATCCTTTCCTCCATCTCTAGGGGATTGATAATAACCTTATAGACAATTGTCGGTCAAGTAAATACAGTTGCGGTTGCAACCAGGGAAGTCTGTGGCTTAAAGAGAACCTGAAGAGTTATAACCAAGGAACAAGGACCTATTTCCCAAGCTTTTCACCACTGTCCACTCATCGTTGCTTATATTCAACTTAAATACTTGGAGCTTAGTGGTTCCATAAGTAAATTGGGAACTGCCTTGATCAACAACTCTCCGGATCTGTACTTCTTACTACGGATGATCCGCCGGATATAACTTCTCGATATGTCGGTTAAGACCCTATGCTCTTTTCCATGCTTGATTTTGGAGCTCCAACACACATGCTATAATTCCCTCCCTCCTTCCCCCCCCCCCACCCCACAGTAATACCATAAAACTTTCCTTTGCAGTAAATAATATCTTTAAATGCATGTCCTGCCAAGTCTACGATGGTCCAAGCATCGTCGGCATGTCTGCAAAAAGCCAACTTTGAATTACCATGGAAAATAACCATTAATATGTAATATGAAGTCTGGGAAGGACTTGAAGATAAGGCGGCCTTAAAGAGCAGCAAGTCATAAATAGATCTCCTCAGGGCGATGGCGACGTAGTTAAACAATTTAGGCATTCAAAGTTTTGGGATGGGGCAGGTTGATTTGAATCCATGATAATGGATGCAACAGATTGATGTCGAGATCATCTTTTCCTATCGTAACCAGCCACCCATGTAAAGCGTAGCAACGTTTGTTGTTGGCTTCTGGCAGCATCAATTTGTAAGTCGTCTCGTTGTCTAGAACTTCGACGAAGCCACGTAAATCTTTACCTTCTTCTTCAGCAAGCATAATGTATGCAAATGGACGTAAAGCAATGAAACTATGCGATAGGATTCGACCAAAAACAAAAAATAAACATACATAATATTGGTTCGTTTTAACTCAAAGTAAATTATTTTAAATCCAATCCATTAATAAATAAATCTTTAAATTTTTAAAATAAAAAGTATCAAAATAACTTTTTATTTAAAACTTAACTCAAAATCATAATTTTAATAGTCCACTCACTTAATTATCTTTTTTATATCTAATTATTTTAAATTATCATATTAAAATCAAAGCATTTTATTTATAAGACTAAAAATTCTTATAATTTTATTAATCTTTTCACGTGAAATTCAAAATAAACTCTCAATTTTTATAACTTCATTCAATTTTTAATTTTGAAATTAAAAGATTCAAGAGAATTAAACCTCATCCTTATGTTTAGTTTGCAATTTTCCATGAAGAACAAAGTCCATTAAGGCTGACAAAATCTTTATAGAATGTCACCCGCTTAGGGATTTCAATGAGAAGTTCTTCACGAAGATCAGACCATTTACCCATTAGAAACCGTCTGAATAGACGCAATAAAACCCTAAAGAAGACTATGCGTCTATGCCCTAGAAAAAGCTACTTCCAATATATATGTATCCATTTACATTAGTTTAACTGATACACCTTTTTAAATCTTTACATCAAAATTATTAAATTTAAAAACATTATTTTTATTGAAACGAATCATAGATTCAATTTTGATTCAAAAATTTTAAAAAATATAAGTGAATTCCTCCTTATATATATTATTAATTTTATTTTTTCTTTATTTTACATTCAAATTTTAATATTTTATAAAGTTTATTAATTAAATTATAATTGAATGTTTTTATAAATAATTATATACCATAAATTACATGGGTTTAAAACTAGTATTAATTAAATTAATGGTGTTTTGGTTAGTGACAAATTATGTAGTACCAAGTTTCTTATGATCTTCAAATCACTTCTGGCTAATTACTCAATTGCTTAAGCATGTACCAATATATTTGGTTATATAAAATAAACTATATGTGTGATATATGGATTGATTTTATTTATTAATTAAAATTTATTATTACAAATAAAATAAATTTATTATATTAAAATATCTGTAAATAGTTAAATTTCAATTCACAATAAAAAATTTTATGTTGTATATAGGTAAGAAATTATCTTGGATCCGAAAGAACTTCATTTGGAATATATTTGATCATTACTTTCAAACCCGGTGCAATTCCAAAATCAATGATTTAAATGTAAAACATCCTATATAAAAGAATAAAAAATTAATTTAGAAATTCTTGAATTAAAAAAATTTTATTAACAAAGCAAAATTTGGAATCATTGTCTCCAAAGAAAATAATATTTTGTGGCTTAATATCTTTCTGCACAAATCATGTTATCATTTTTTGGGCTTAAGAAAAAAATGTGTTAATATAAAAGTTAAAAATGTTAATATTTTGAAATATAAATATAATATAGTAATAATATCTATACTCTTTTCTCAATTTTTTTTTCATTTTTCATTTTGTATAAAGATTATAAAATAAATAACACTTACATGTTAAAAATCATTATAGTAAAATTTCATGTGTTATTAAAAAAAAAAAAAAAAGAAAGAAAGAAATAGTAGGATCAATCTTACCAATTATTTGACATATAAGCAGGATCCTCATAAAGTTAGGATCAACATGTATAACACAAAAATTTCAGTGAATGAAATCCATATTATTTATCAATGATATAAAATCAATTTATTTATTCAATGATTTTTTGGTGTAACAAAAAAATACCACCAAATGATGCTTTAATTTTTGAAAAGTGTGATATTGATCAAAAGACAAATTAAGGAATGAAAATAATTAGAAAATATGCAGCAAATAAAAGAAGGTTTGAAAACAAACAATGATGTTAGAAGATAAAATTAATTCAAAAAAGAATTTACATACCTTAATCGAATTGCAATTTTGCAAATCTACAATTTTGATCAGAACATTAAAAATTTGAAAATAATTAAAAAATTTATGCTATAAGGTGAAGAGTTGAATGAAAAATATGTACTAATATGGGATTATTAGAAATGGAAATATATATTTTACTAACTTGTTATCCGTGCAATGCACGGATTATTTTTATTCTATTTAAATTTAAATAAAAATATAAATTAATATTATTTAATTATTTACATATTCAAAAATCTGTAAAATATAAATAATATAATTAAGTTATCAAATCATAATAAAATAAAAATTTAAATTAAAAATTGATAAATTTTAAAATATACAATAAATAATATTGAAAGAATAAAAAAATATCTAAAATATATTGCAAATAATATTATTAAGTACACTAACAAAGTATTAAATTATTTTAAACTAAAAAGTCTATCACTTCAAATTAATTTTGTTCAATTTGCATTATCTCTAACTTCTCTTATTATTTTCATTCACCTCCAAATTTATATAATTTTAAGATAAGTTTCATTTATTTAAGAAAAATAATGATTTTAAATATTTAAATAATATACGTGATAATTCATTCACATGCACATATATTTTTAAAGAGTTTTAGTAATATCATGATTTTTCATATCTATATGACTTTCCAAATATTTATGCCTTTCAATTGTTTTGAGATTGACATCTGATGTAAAATTATGTTCTTATAACAATTGAAATGAAAAAGTTTTAAATTTTGAGTAAGTAATAATATTAAATTGTAAACAATTATTTAAAAAAATTATTAGAAAAATATTTTAATGAAATATATTAAACTACTTATCTTTTATATTTTTTCAAGTAAATACAGATTATTCTCTATATAAGGTATCTCATGAATATGTGTAACAGTTAATTTTGAACTTTCATGAAAAAAATTATAATTATTGAGTTTTACTTTAAAAATATATAAATAATCTATTAACTTTTTCAGTAATTTTTTTAGCTTGACATCTCCATCTTCTCGTAAGTGAGTTTTATATAATTTTATTAATTGTCTTGGGTCTCTTTGAAAATGCAGTGGCTGATAACAATCTAGTTAACCAACTTGAGAATCAAGTAAATTGGATATATTCTGTTGTTATAAATGGACTTGGATGTTCTTTATTTATCATCATTTATGGGTGAAGAAATAATCAAATAAAGTTTACTAAATGATAACGTGTTTTGAATAGGAACACAGGGAGTTAACAAGGGAAGCTATGAGCAAAGGTCATGTCCTACTGAAGAATGGTGAGTCTGCTGATAAGCCATTGTTACCCCTTCTTAAGAAAGCAATTAAGATATTAGTTGTTGGAAGTCATGCTGATAACTTGGGCTATCAATGTGGAAGTTGGACTATTACATGGTAGAGTCTTAATGGCAATGATCTCACAAGTGGTACTTTCTAAAATTACACTTAAAATAATTAAAACATAAATATAGGTTTTGTTGGTCCAAAGGTTTTAATGAATAAAATGACCTAAAAAAGCAGTTAAGTTTTATTATTGCCTCCGTTAAACTTGGTGACATGCTTGAAACTTGATAGAGCATGATATAAGAGCCATTTAATCAATTATAAAGATATCAGGTACTGAATATTTTACCATCTGAAATCAATCCAAGTGGTAACTGTCATTTGAACTATTGTGAGAATTTACTAGTGTTATTAACAACTTTATCTCAAGGGGTTAGTTAAAATTAAAATGGATTCGGTTTGGCTGAGTCAAGTTTAATCACTGTTGAAGCCTTTATTCACCGTGTTATGGTATTGGATGTCATGGAATTAACAATTTATCAAAAAAATGCAGACCAATCTTTAATGGCCAGGGTATTTTCAAATGGAAAACTTTTCTATAATGTTAACTTAGAATAATTTGATGGAATACAATTTGCATGAACAGGTTCCATTATCCTCCAGGTTATTAAAAATACAGTTGATTCAACCATTCAAGTTGTCTACAATGAGAATTCTGATGCAAACTTTGTCGAGTCTAACAAATTCTCTTATGCTATTATTGTTGTGAGAGAAGCCTCGTATGTAGAAACAAACGGTGACAATCTGAAATTTACAATATTTTAGCCTAGCCCAATCACTATTGACAATGTTTATGGGGCTATAAAATGTGTTGTTATGGTTATCTTTGGCGGGCCGATTGTCATGCAAACCTATCTCTCATCAATTGCTGCACTTGGCTTCCAAGGACTAAAGGCCAATGTGTTGTTGATGTTCTATTTGGTGACTATGGGTTTACTGTCAAGCTTGCAAAGACATGGTTCAAGATTGTTGACCATCTCTCTATGAATGTTGGTGACCACATTACGACCCTCTGTTTTCATTTGGGTGACATAAAGAATAAGAATTTCATTGAAATTATAATTGATTTTTATTTAAATTTTAAAATTTTAGATAATTCAATCATTTTTTAAATATATCTTTTTAATAAATAATTTTAAAATAATAAATATCTTATATATCATTATAAAAATAAACTTTAAAAATTTTCTCATGTCGAAAAATGAAGTTGTCAACGTTAAGTGTCAATGTCAATAAATCTTAATAGATAATTATGTATGTTGTAATAATATATATATATATGGTATCTTCAATGCAAGCTCAATAAGAAATTAAGGGTCGTAGACAACAATAATTAACTAACTAAGTATGTCAAATATTTGATAGATAAATAGATTTTAAATAAATAAAATATATAATAGGTAATATTCAATATGTTTGAATTAAAAATATATATATTAAAGGATTAGTAGGAAATCTGTAAATAATAAAAATTATATATGATATTTTCACATTTAAAAAGAGATATAAGTATATTATTGAAATATATATTTTAAAAGAGATATATCTAAATTATTTAAAAAAAAAAGATGCATCTAAATTACATTTTATTGTCAAAATTTTAATATTTATCGCTTTTTTCAAAGCCTTTAACTCATGATTCCTATTTGAACATGCCTTTATTGTTATTATAAAGGTGTCAATTTTATGATATATTTAATTACATAGTACTTAAAATAAATTGAAATGGATAATTAATCCAAATAGTTAAAAGTATTATATTAAAAAAAAGTCAAAAAATTATTAAAACCACAATGATTTAAACAAAATATATATGACCTTTAAAAGTTAGTACTATTTGAAATTTGGTTTTAATATAATGATGAAAAAAGTGAGTTAATATTTTTTTTGGTGTGATTTAAATTAGGATGAAGCTTATATATAGATTAAAAGATTTGGATTAATTTAATTTTTAAAATTTTTGAATATTGAATAATTGATTTAAAAAAATTATCTGATAAATAATTGAAATAATGTTTAATTATTTGGTTGCATATTTAAAACTATTTTATGTGTCATCAAAATATATTGTACACATAAAATTATACATAAGCAAATCTTGTATTGTAACTTTGTATATTGTAATATATATATATATATATATATGTATATTATAAATTTTAATTTGGTTTGGCATTCATTCAGGCCTAGAAGGGAACAGGGCCCGGCCCAGTTATAAGATATCAACTTATCAATCCTGAAATATAAAAGCAGATTAGACTTACTGATCCATTTTGTAAAGGCTCACATCGTACTTGAGGCCCAAATATTTGAATTTTGAAATGCACTAGGCGCTCCAATTGGGCTTTTGTGTAAAAATGCTCAATGACAAAAATGCCATCAGGCTAACTTTCAATATTCAATACTAATTCACCTTAAACTTCTACGTATTTTTTAGAAGCATTTTCACCTAAAATTTTTTATTACAGTTTTAAATTATTTATTAATAATAAAAAATTATATAAAAATCATTTATTTATATTTTAAAATAAAAAATTCATTACTTATTAATATAAATTTTATATAAAATTTTAATAAATCTTAAATAATTTTTTATCATAATTGATTAATTATAATACAATGATTATATATAATATGCTTTCATTATTTTTACACGTAATATTAAATAGTATTATTAACAAATTAATCAAAATAATACTATTAAAGTAGGGTTAAGAAGCTAAAATATGATTGGTTAATATTTTTGTTTTATTTTTATTTATATTTGGTTTTTATTTTTTATTTTTATCTTTTCCTTTCTATAATTTTTTGTAAAAAAAAACTAAAATAATTTTCCTAACACTTAAAAAAATAGTTCGCAAAATCGTAGAGCTATCTTATTTTAAAAAAAAAAGAAAAGAAAACAAAAAGGTTGAAGAGGGAGTGGCATATGGGTAAATTAAAGGTATAAGCCGGGATGAAAAGGAACGGGACAATCCGCCTTTAAAATAAGCTGTGAGGCGGTATCATTTCTGATTTCACTCAAACGCTTCCAAGTTTTGGAATTGAAGGTACGGTTAGCAACTGAGGAGCAGAGCCAACAAATTCAAGATCCACTTTCAAACAATGGTAAACTTTGCTTTCTTTCCTTTTCTTTGTTCTTTTTTAGAAACTTTGGAACTGATAATCTTCCTTGATATCATTTGCTCCAATTATTTTAAGTGGCCAAAAGTGGTTCGATCTAAAGTCGTATCATGGTTCATAAAGGATTTGATGTAAAGAGCGCTTCTTCGACTTGTTTTAGACCCGTTTTCTATAAAAACTCGCGAATCTTTATGGGTGTTAACAATTATGCTTTTCTGGTTCACATCTTTTTTTTTTTTTTTAAATTAGCAGTATTTTTGGTTTAAAATTGGTTGTGCTTGCAATGCTCTGTTAGGGTGTTAATTTCTGGGCTTTATTTGGAATCTTAGTGTAGGTTTTTATGACATTTATTATCGTTTTACTTGTTTTGAGACCCAAACCTTTTATTCTATGGCATACAATTCCTTTGTCTTCGTGAGATTTTCATAATTCCTATGCAATTTCCACCCAAGTTCTTTATTTTAAAAGAAATTTGGATTATTTTTTTGAAGTTCGTTAGAAGAGTACAGTTTCAAGGTATTTGAGGATTTGATCAACCACAGTCTTAGTGTTAAACAATCTGAAGTAGGGGTTAGTTTTGTTATCAACTCGTGTTGCTAATGCTGTGTGGTTTGAGCTAATTGGCATTCTTTTTGCAGGATGGCCATAATTCGGATGAGTCAAAGCAAAGCACTGCTGATATGACTGTTTTTGTGAGTTCCTTAACCATGTTTTATAACATGAACAATAACTGCGATTAATGTATGCTGTTTTGCTAGTACCATGAGGGCATAACCACTGCCAATTTTGATTAATTCTGAACCTTTTAGATTGCCAAGTCGGATCATAGTCTCTAATGGATATAATTCAGCAATCATTTGCTGTGGTTTTTGATGTGCCTTTCTTATAATTCTTTACTAACAATTTCTTTGAATGGTTTTTGTAGGTGCAAAATCTTCTTCAACAGATGGTGAGTTATAATTGGACCCTCTTTTGTTGGAATATATTTCTGTTATTGACAAAGATTTTGTTTGCAGCAATCTAGATTTCAAACAATGTCTGATTCCATTATCACAAAGAATATCCTTTTCATGTGTTCCTAAATTTCATTGAACCATGTTGTTCTATATGATAGCAACATTGTCAAATATGTGAAATGTCGCTGAGTTGCTTCACGGATGAAGTAAATGGCTTTTCATAATCGATAAGTTTCACAGAAAATTTCGTCTGTTTTTCTTTGTTGAGCTTTTTAATTTTATTGTTACATAAATAGGTTGAATTGTCTAAACTAATCTATACTTTAGTTTTACACTTGTCAACTTATGGGGAAATCTTTACTATAAGGCTAAGAAGCTTTGCGAGACAGTGGTTTGAACCTGTATCTAATAACTGTTTTGCTGGCCAGATTTGAAGAAGTTTGAAAGTTTGTTATGTTTTGCAGTATTATAGCATTACTTTAAATGGATATAGTTAGTTACTTTAGTATTACTTTGAAGTGTGGGACAGCTGTTGTTTACTTAACTCCAAAGCACTTGATGAAATGGGAAACCGTATAAATGAGCTGGAGCAGAGCATCAATGACCTAAAAGCAGAGATGGGAGTGGAGGGCTCCCCATCCCCTTTAGCCCCATCACAGCAAAAGTCAGATGAAGCAAAGCAAGAGGAAAGCTAAGCATAAATTTCGTCAAAGACTGTTTTTAGCAATTGATTATGATTGTAATTTGGTGATACCTGGTTGTGTTTGAGACTACTATTGGCCAGGGAGGGACATTAATGAGTGTCCCCCTTTTCTTTTTCTTTTTCCTTTTTTTTTTTAATTTGTACCAAGTATTTCTTCTGTGAATGGAAGAAACAATTATATGCTTTTAAACCAGTAGATGCACTGCATATTTGGCGAATTATAGAGGGAATTAATGAATATGAAGTGGTTTGTTGTTAACATTCCTGCTTTATCTCTGTGCAATAGCAAATGCAATTTATGAGTTGTTCATTAAACTTGACAAGTTGGTATGCAGTTTACAGCTTTGTTAAGCATCCTTCTGGCTGAGCAGATGTTAACCCTAATCATTAATCTGTGTGGACAATCCCAAATCTATCAGGTTTTAATACTTGAAAATGCTATATGAACTCGACAGATGATGATTAAGCTTGACATTCTGAAGATAATTTGTTCTAGCTCACATTTCATCCTGAAATACTTTTGGGAAAATACTTCAGAAACAGACGTAATCATATCTTGTCATAATTTATTTTGAATGCAATAGATGGTACTTCAAATTATATATCTTGATTATTGGAAGTGTAAATCTCAATTCAAATAATATCAAATACAAAGCTTGTTATGATTGTACTTGTCAGTAGAGAAGGAGACTAATTCATGTTCCTCCCATTAATTGGTGTATAATCATTCTCATTGATCTATAATCATAATGCCTAGTATTGGATTTTAGTTGTCATGTTGCTTAGTATTTTGGTCTCTTATCATGATTTCAGTACGTTTTAAACTGGCCGTCATTCTGTCGCAACCATTCTCGCTTTATCCTATTTTTTAAGCCAATCTCAAGTTATGAGATATAAGGTTTAGTTTTTTGATGTTGTTACTTAGTTGATGTTATTTACCTATCCTTGCCTTCCTTTTCATGCCTGTTTCAGAATTTGCCATTGCTTGTTGGAGTTAACAAACGAGGTTGACCAGAATCTCATCCCAAATAAAAACAAAAACGTCTGATGATCATTATGCCTTCTATAACTGAAGCGAAATTGACTGAAATTTGAAGGTAAAATTCCAAAGCAGCAAATTAAAGGACAAAGAAACACAAAATATTACATGATAACATATCTGGGAATTTCTTCAACAACATATATAGATTCTCCACCTCATCAGAGGGGAGCTTGATATTCTAATTAAATCCACTTTTATTGCTATATTTCTATCTTACAAATGAGAAACAAATGACACAGAAAAAAAAGGAGGGCAAATAACCTTAACCACGGCAACGAGCAATAGCACTGCAGCCTCGGTTATAAGGGTTAGCTTGAGCTCCTGGCTGACAGTTGTAGTAGGATGCACCCCTTAGAGAGCATGGTACGGTGTTCCTCTGCAGAGCTCCATAGCTTATGTACTGCGTGGTTTGCAGTATGCGCCTGTTAATCTCGGAGTCCATGTCAAACTCATCGTTAGCCATGCATTCAGCCAACGAGCCATGGCAGCCAGACTTGGTTGGAACCCAGCTCAAGTAGTGCTCACCACTTGCGTCGACGGTCGACAAGGCGATGATCAAAGTTGTGAGGACTAATGAAACGGCCAGGAGAAAACCAGAGGGATTAGCCATGTTGTCCTTTATTTTTCTATGCTGCGGTTGTTTAAGTAGGGACAAGAAGAGAAGGGGTTTGGCAACGTGTTCTTAAATTTTAAAGCTACTAATAGGTTACCAAGAGTTGGAAGAATGACATAGACTAACTCTGTATTTATCAAAATGCCAATTGACTCTGGGCCCCAGTATTCTTTTTATATTTTTTTCCCTTCTCATATTTCTATTTTTCATTCTGAATATGATAATAGAACAAGCTCAAATCGAAGCTTATAGTTCTGCTATTGGCCCACCCTAGTCATTTGGTTCAAAGAATTAATTAAAAATTAAAAGCTTTAGTCAAATAATTACATGAATCCTTGGTAGTTTTGTAAAAATGGAGATAATGATGGTTTAACGTCTAAGAACACCAAGGACAAAGAGGCAATTGGTTGACCGATGGGGGAGGCATATATTCTTTGAATTGGTTTGAAATCCTAGTTCGTCCAACTACCTTCAATAGTTTGCCTGTCCTAATCCCATGACTATTAACACTAATAATGACAAAGAATGATAATTAGAATAATAAAAAAGCACAAACCTAACCCAACGAATAGAATGGAAGATAAAAAGAAATCTTTTTAATGATACGGGTACTCGTTTTGATTCTTTGATAAAGTTCATTAGTTCAATGACTCTTGGACAAGTTCAAACACAACTGGATTGCTATTTAGAAAGGTTTTTTTTTTTTACCTCTTCAAAACCTAATACAAGAAAATGACAGAAATGGTAACGTGAAAACCCGAAAACAAGGGTTTTAAAACAGAAGATAATTCGTTGAAAATCCTGGCGTCCCACACTTTATTCCTGGGTTAGATTGATTTTCTGTCATTTTAGCGTTTTGTCAATTTGAGTTGTGAATTTCCAGGTAGGCTGTGAGCTTTATAGACAGCTTGGAACCACTCTACTGGCCTATAATACATGCAAAAATGTGTTGTCAAGTTGAATGTGAAATCCTAGGATTTGATCACCGCATCTTAGAAACACCAATTTCTTCTGCAAAGTGTGTTGTTTTTTCACATAAGCTGACGGGTGGGTTATTCAGGGTGTTTGGTCTGATCAGGTTTTCAGAGGCTATAGGGTTCAAACTTTTGATTATCAGTGGATGACTAATGAATACTCAACTACTTTCCTCCATAAGAAAATTACTTGAAGAAATTTGATTAAAGAATCAAGATAAGCATAAAAAGATGCGTTTGACTCGGGTTAAAGGCTTAACCAAATATGAAATAATTAGTTTTAATCTTATCAGATTCTTAGAAGCAAGCACAACACGTGCCCAACCTTACCCCATTCTTGGCTCTTTCAATTCTGTATCTCGCATTGTTCTATGCCGGTGCAACTTCCAGCTATTCCAGTCAAATTTAAACTTTGATATTCGTAGGTGTTTAGTTTATTTTACCAAGAAGCCAAGAAGATGCGAACATACTTAAATTTGAGCTCCAAAAAGTCTAGAACATGCTTAAAAACTGCAAATTCTTAGCAAAGAATACATGCTGAAACTGTTGAAAATCCTGGCGCCTTGAAAGCATTGGAACTACACGTGACTGTATATTGGCGTATGTGTATCCTGGTGAATATGAATGGATTAATTCAACGTTCAAGTATGAAATAGAGACAAAGGGAAATTAATACAATAGAAGATAACAGGTTAAAATAATAAAAAAGCTTTAAAATTTTTTTTTTATTTAAATAAATTTTTATATTTTTATTGCATCCGAATATATTATTATCTTTTATTTTGCACTCAAATAACCACTTAATAATTTGTTTCCAAATAAATCTCTATCTTTTAATTTATATTTAAATAAATTCTTAACATAAATCAATTTTTTGTTTGAAATAAAAATATACTTGATTACAAATAAAAAATAAAAAACTTATTTAAGTATAATAAAAATATAAAAACTTATTTAAATAAAATAATAAAATTAAAAATCTCTTTTAATATTTTAACCAAGATAATAAATTGAAAACTATAATCCGATCATCCAATCCCACGAAGGCAGGAGAGTTGTTTTCTAGCCAAGGTGGGGAGAATATCAAGACAAAAAAGTCTTTATTCTATGGTTAGCGCATTCAAATCATAACAGAAGGGTGGAAAAAAGAAACAGCGTTCTTGGTTGGGCCATTATTTGCATATAAAAAATATAAACAAACCAAAAAAGTACACCATAAAGGCAACCTCCCACCCTCCAAAAGGAAAAAAGAAATAGAGAGAAAAAGGGGTACAGATCAAACATGGGTAGAAATAAAAAATGAATTACATGACCAGAGTGTTCAAATATTTGCATGCTCTAATTTACAAAGCAATAACATACATTGCTAGAACTATGGATGTAGTCTTGCTGTGTAAAGGAACCATGAAAAAAAAATTGGTAGTCTAATGCATGAATAATCAAACAAGAGAGATTTCCATCTGCTCCGCAATCTGTTCGTCTTAGTTTGAAGCACACCCAAATAAGGGTTGGTAACAGAGATTTTATCTTTCTAGTTTGCTTAGCAATGCTTCCATTGGTGGCAGCTCTTGCACTAGTTGTGACCAATCAGGCATTCCCTGCAAACAAGGAAACTTACCATGATAATCAACAAAAAATTTCGATATTGAATTACTGGTATTTGAAACCAAAGATGGAGAATATATAGCTTAGTTCGCAACTGATCCACATCACTTACGTGGAAAGGAAATTAAAATGTCATGAAGTGCAGAAACTACTTTAGAGTGGATGGTAATAAATTCAAGTCATCCAAAACACTAACAACTGATAACTAAGGAGGTTTATAAGATTGATTCATTAACAGCCTTATGGGAAAAGAAAACACTAACTGATGGAAGCCAATCAATGCTTTAAAGTGTGTGCATGAATTCCAAAAGTTTGAGCAACAAAAATTCAGCAATCAGTTATAACCCTAAATTAATGTCATGACACATTGATAATTGATATTGATATTATCTCAGTCCAAGAAGACGAACTAAACAATTTTCCAACATATGTTCTTACTTTTCCTGATCTTCGAACTCGACCATCTAGACGCAAAATTATGTACACATCCTCACCAGGAGTAACTCCTTCAGACTTTTGTTGATCCCTAATCCACCTGAGTAAGTAAGAACCTTTAGTTAAAAGATTGAAAGAAAAAAAAAAAATCTAACAGAAGAAAAGATGTCCATCGACAAATTTAAGCCTATCACTGATAACTAGAATTGTAATCAATGTTTGGAAACAGTTTTTCAAGACACAAACTTATGTGACCTGAAGAGATACATTACTGAAAAACCTTTGTTATCTAAATGCTAAACAAGGATAAACAATAATAAATATAGAGTAGCATGTGACCTTTCCCATTCTTCCGGTGATACAACCTCAGCCCTAAATCGAATTTCAGCTTTCAACTTTGATTTTGCAGTTACAGACTGAGCTCGTTTCTCAAAGTCTTCCTGCCATGACAGCAAAAAATAAAAAGTTTCAAGAAAGGAATTTAATCAAAAACCACGCTTGGTGCATGCATTTAATCTTTCACAACTCAAAATTCATGTAAAGTTGATTGCTAAAAGACAGCAATCCGAGGTATATTTGGCATATCAGTACAAGTACACCTTCGCATAAAGTTATAGCCACATGTATAATACATCATATGCACAGCAAAAAGTAAACTTCTAAGAAGTGATAGGTACTATACAAACGATGATAATGTGATTAGTGAACAAGAATTATCCTTGTATGGCTACTAATCTACAGTAGGTTAGATATGTGTATTTTACCCCAATAGAAGGAAGAGCAGCTGGTGCCTTAGGAGAAACACCAAAACCTTTCTTCTCCACTTGCGGTGTTCTACCTTCACCCCAAATGACAGGAACTAGAAGAACACCTCGTCTAAGGAGCTCAGTTCGAAATCTCTCAGCCTTTTGTATAGCCAAGGAAACAGATTCTTTTTTCCCAGCTAAAATAACCTGAAACCAACATTCAATTAGAATGTAATGACAAAAACCATATAGATCAAGGTAAGTATAAAAAATGCAACAGCATGCAAGTTAATATACAACTTAAAGTTACACTTGACATAGATTTATATGACCAAATAGGAGATGACAGTGCATTAAGATATATCTACACTCAACCAAAGTAGTAAATATTAATGTAATCTTCTATGGTAATTCTAGAAGACTTTTGGTCTAATGGTATAAATCTCAATCTCCACTCCAAGTAGTAGCATTCTCTAAAAATAATGTAGAAACAGAAAATAAAACAGATAATTGTTATGGTCACAGATGTTCTGGTTGCTCTCAACACAGGAAAGTCCACAATGCACCTAACTACCATTAAAGAAACACATAGAGCTATGACAGGTAGCTGTATTCCTTTATTAATTATCAGCTTAAATTTAATACTTTGGAAATGAATCAAGTACATTTACTAAAATCAGTAAAGAGATCTAATTTTATCTTGTGATGAAATGAAATGAGGGTTTCAATTCTTAATTCTTATGGTTGGCAACATTATTCTTGAAGACTATACTTTTACACTGACAATGCAGGCAATAATAATATGTAACAGTGAATCTAAGTTTGCAATCATGGAGCAGCATGAACTTGGAAGAAATATTCAAACAAAAAATGACAATTTAATACTAACTGGCCTAACAGTGTCCCGTAGCTGCACAAGTTCAACAACCCGATTGGTCGAAAGGCGCAGAGGCAACCTCGAGAGAGTTTCATTTCGGGATATTTGTGCAAGTTGCTCTTCCTCCTTCTTGTTGTCCCAGAAAAATAATGCCACAAGAACAATGATACCTGTAGATAGCTGATTCAAAAACTTAGTCATTTTAAAAAACCAGTTACAAACTATTAGCTTGACGGTCACACAAACAAATTTAAACAAAAAAACCAGACATTAAGTCATCAAATGACAAATATATCTAATAAACTCATATCCTAATTTACCTCCAATATTTGTGGCAGCATTGCCAGCAGTTTCCCAAAAATCAGGAGCAGCATCACCACCTTTAACAGCAAGAAATAGCCTGGGTACAGTGAAGAACAGTGAAATTCCAGCAGCTGCAGAGAATGCCACATAAAAAAATCTCCTAACCCCACGAAATGGGGCCTGGACTTCACTGATAAGTTTGAGATCTCTTCGAAAACTGTAGCCTATATCTTCTCCACCCACCCTTGCCTGTAAAGATAACAAATAACTATGAGCAATACCAACTTTTAGTAATCTGATCCTCATGTGGTGATTTACATTCATTTGATTCCACGGCTGTTGCGTTAGGATATGTTAATGGGGACTGGGAAAATGGAATGGCTATAGGAAAACCTGAGCTACAAACCTCTTCTTGCAAATCCTTGAACTCAGGTGATGCTCTAAGGGAGGCCAGATCAGGATCATTTAGAATTGTACCAAACTTGAGGTTGTAGTCTCTCAAAGCAGTACGGAGACAATCAGCGGCTTTCTTTGCTTCCCCTCTTCCTCAATAAAAAAAAAAAAAAAAGATTGTTAGGTAGCACAGCCCCATTTAGTAATCATTACTTGAGATTAATGCAGAAAAGTATTATAACAAAAACATAGATGCGGCCTCAAATCATATTCCCAGAAGCTTCTATTATGTACTTATGCACAGAGGGATTTCATATAAGAAGTACCAAGGGAATTTGGCAGATAGATAGAGAATCAAATGTTATAATAGAATTATGTAAGTTTGAATACTATAACAAGTATACTTTACAGGTGCAATTGGAAGGGAGTTAAGGTAGCATTATGTTTGGCAACCCACCTCTTCCCTAAAGTACATATGAATTTCTAAAGCCATGCATGGTGATTTGAAATTCTAACTACTAAAAAAGGAAGGATAAGCATCAGAAATCCTTACCGATAGGCATGACAGCAGGCTTTGTTATAAAGAGCAGCTTGGGTTTCCACGGGGTTTGGATCTAAACTAAGTGCTGTTTCAAACTGGACTAAAGCATCTTTAACCTGAAATACCCATTTGATATTAAAGGCACTGTTTTACAAAAATATGATTTTAATTTAATAAATAGTATGGTTTGCAAAGATAAGTTTTTGCCAGCAATGCAGAACAATGAGCTATCTTCAATAAATTTATAAATCATAAGAATACTTTGAAGGAACATTGTTATGGAAGTCAATCAATATAGAATTCAATCTCAATTGTCCTAGATAAAGTTTTCTGTTCATTGAGCCGGGAGGGATTTGCATAAGTGTCATAAAACCAGCATGATTTTGCTCCTTGGATTCCTCACTATATGGCCAAATCATAAACATTAAAGTATCAGGAAAAAGGAAAAAGCATTAGATGATGTGGGTCAACATGCTATTAGAAAGGCACAATACTTTGCAATTTAATAGAGGATAAAGTTAAGGACTTTAATATACCAGATAGCAAAAACAATATGCAGGAACCTTAAACAGGATAATAGACAGTACTAGTTCAAAGTAGAAACCTGTCGGACATATCAATAGCGTAGAAGAAATGTAAAAGACATTCACAAAAAAAAAAAAAAAAAAAGCATATTTTCAACTTAGTATCATAGCATAGCCAAAACATTGACTAAACATTCGCCACGAGAGACACATTCAAAATAAATCAGTATCTATGTAGCATCCAAGGGAATCATTAAGAACAAAAAGAAAAAGAAAACCCATGCTTGCAAGAATAAAAAGCTTTGGCTCTAATTGTACCAACTACCAAAATTACCCATACTGAAGACACCCGTATAATAAAACCATAAAATACTGAGCAATGCTTACCCGTCCTTTGGAGAAGAGTGAGAGGCCCAGATTGACACAAGATTGTGCGGTCTGGGTGTTGGCCTCTGGGGACGGGAAAGTTGGAGAGGAAGAGCAAGAAACTCTAAAGTCATGAGCCTTCTTTTGAGAATTCAAAAGGGTTGCCCTTTTAGGGAACCATGGCTTTGATTTTGCTCTTGTCTTTGAGTTTGAAAAGCAGAGGAGTTGCTGGTTCAGTGCCAGAGCAGCCACAGCCATTCGGATTTTGCGTCTCCCGACCCCCGACCAAATTAGAAATTTTATCCGAACTGTATTTTAATTTTTAATCACTTTTTTTAAGAACCGCACGTACTCATTGGCGCTGCTGACTAACTGATACTTGAGACGTTGTCGTTTACGTAAAACTCATAAGCGGGGAATTTTTGAAGACGTGAAAAGTCAACTGGGGAAGTTACAAATTTACAATATTCCCTAGGGATGAAAATTGTGAGTGAACCCGGAAGCTCTCTCGTTTCCAGGTAACACATCTTCCTTCCTACAACTACACAAGAATTCTCCTTAGTTTTAGCTGTAACTTTCTATTTGGGTACAATACTGTATATAGATGTATATTTTTGCATGTGAATTTTTAGTGACATTTTTTTGTATTGATGGTGGGTCTTGGGGAGGGACATCATTTTATTTCATTGAATCCACTCTTCCATATTTGACACCCAAATATGAGAAGTCGGAATCTCTGGTTAGGATTGTTCTCAATGTTTGCCTTCGTTTTGTTTTGTTTTTTTTAATTAGTTTTTGTCACCCAAGTGCTCATATTTAAGCATTTGCTACAACTTATATCACGTATTCTATGAAAAATTATGTGATAAATCTGTGAGACAAAAGAGAAGTTCTTGTGTATTACTTAATTTACTTCATATAATAAGCATACATGATGTTCTGTACAATGCTTTGGTGGTCATGTTACTGGAATGGAGGAGATGTTTTTCGTTTGGTGAATTTTCAAGGACTAAGCTGATTGTTCGAGACATGAAGAATTACACAATTCTTTGTCTGATGGTGAGGTAAGATATTTTCAAAAATTCAATTATTGAAGCTTGCATGATTCAAACTCAGGAAAAAAAAAAGTATTCTTAATAAATGGGTATTTTTTAAGGTGATTTAGTTATCTCAGTCAACCAGGATTTCTGGTTTTGGAATTGCCTTAACAACTCAATCAAGTGGAATCTCTCTATCAGTTTGGCATGACCCTCATAAAAAGTTTGAGATGGTACTTCCTCATGAGTTGACACTTATTAGGTAAGTAGTGGATTCGATGAACTCTGAGAAGCCAAAGTCTTAAAGGCCATTTAAATTGGACGGAAACAGTATGTCTCACCATATCACCGAGCAAAGTTAAAGTTAAATGAGTCACCTTGATCAATGAACTAAAGTTTATGGAGGGGTATTTTTCATTCTCACATCATTTCCCAAAAGAAAAAGGAACCTACCTTTTTCTTAAAGCTGGTTGTACATCTTATTAGGCACATTTCTTTTTTACCTCACCCTGTCCGAAGTCTGGCTCAATAATGTTGGTTGCACTAACGGTAATCATTCATGCATCTTCCATGGAAGCACTTCTCTTTGCCTTTTTTGTCTTTGTGTGATAAAGCTCTTCAATTTGATCTTTATGCAGATTGCAATTTACGACTGGATCAGATAGATAGGACTTCAGAACTAGGTGGAGCCATGAAAAACCCTGTCCATAAAGAACTGCTACTATTTCGTTTGGCAAATTATTTAACTCTGGCAAGTATCCTTGCATTAGAACAATGAGAAACATGCAGCAAACCATTTATTGTGTTCTCCAGCTATTCTAATTCGTATAAGTTGTAATACTACTTGTCTGTTTGCTTCTTCCTTAATACTACTTCAAGATTTCTTTCAACATCTTTATTTTTATTTTTTTGCAATCTTCTTGAAGTAAAGGTGGTGGACAATGGCATAAACTATATGCTTGTATTCAAGGATCTGAATAACCAACTATGCTAGGATTGTGAAAAAAAATGTTCCCGAATCAGAAGTAAAGATAGTGATGCCCTGTGATTTATGATGATGAGTCTACTGAAATTAAGGTTGTACGGACACAATTGCAAGTGGGTATCAGACGAGACCATGATTTCAGTGATACTATGCCATATGCTAGCTCCAATTAGATAGTCATCGGAAACCAATGTGTAGTAGAGTTACTTCTGCACTATCACAAGCTTCCCAGATATGGAAAAAAAAGGTTATATTGCGACAGCACCAGTATTTTGCAAAATTGTCATATAGGGAGGTAAAGAGCTAGGGAAGAAAGGGCCATTGGGTCTGTTGGCACAACTTCGTCATATGTGTCTATCACCAGTCTGAAAACAGATGCGGCAGACACAACATTACTGAATGGCATATGTTCAAAAGATGTTGATTAATACAAGTCACAGGCTTATTTGGATAAAGATATTTCCTTACGGCATTTCCCTTGAGCATCTCAAATTTGATTGAATGGTCCGGATTGTTTCTTATTTTCTTTAGGAGCTTTTCATCAAGTTCTATCATTGAGTACAAGGCTGGAGTTTCTTGCAGTTCATTTCCATGTCATTTATATGGTATTGAAGAATAACTTTTTGTTAATGGGGATTGACCCTTTTATACCTGCAACTTGACTCTTGTTTTGAATTATCTTTCTGTGGCAGCTTGTTAACCATTAGACTTGCTAATGAGAGGGTGTATGGTTGCCTATTTTGTTGCTGTACACGTCATACTGTAATTTAGAAAAAGAAAGAGAACAGATACTGACTTGAGGGAGATTGATTTTCTTGGCTTTTTACATGTCTTTATGGCGAAAAGAAATGTGAAAAAGCTCCATTTTATGAACAATATGTGATGCTAGAACTAGAACCAGATACTAACAAGCTTGACACTGTCCTTTACATTTACAATATACGATCTGTGTTGTGAAATCTGGCACATTGTTCTGCGATCAAATTTGAAGAACCAGTACGATATACTATTGTGCACATTACAATATCATGTTCAGTTGGTACAAATTTTCAAGGTACGTACATTCTTTTCACTGTTTCATCTTTGACGAGATGATCTTTTACTCTTCTTCCTAGTTACCCTTAACAATTTTGCTCAAACGGCTGCTAGAAAACTAGAATCTGCTTTCTTGAATCATTACATTAAATAATGGGCTATTTATTTAAACCATTGTAAAATTTATGAAAAATATTCCACCATACTGTTGGATGAGGTCATGGCTTTTTTAATAAAAAAAAACAAGTGAGGGTCCACGGTCCAGATCAAATCAGCACAATATCAATTTATCCAAAAAAAAAAAAAAAGAAATCAGCACAATATAACATCTGATGATAGGCTTATAACGATGTAGAGAGAAAATATGTTCATCAACAGGAACATGGCAAAACCAAAGTCATTATATATAGACCTTCTAGTTTTGTAAGTTTTGATCGAGAAGTATTGCTCCTCTTATTTCTTCTGTAGACTCTCTACTCATTCCTTTTTAATCTTAATATGGATGGGAAGAAGCTGGAGTATAAGGGTGAGGATGCCTTGAAGGAGATTGAAAAGTTAACAGCAAAGGCTGGTGAAGTCCAGTATGACATACTGAAAGAAATATTAAAGAGAAATGTGGAAACTGAGTATTTGAACAAGTTTATGAAAGGATCTAAAGATGTTTCTGAGTTTAAAAGTTGTGTCCCAGTTATTACCTACAAGAATATCCATCCTTATATCCAGAGAATTGCTAATGGTGAAGACTCTTCCCTCATTACTGGTCAGCCCATAACTGAAATGTTGTGCAGGTTTCCTTTCTCTTACTGTCTTCTCTCTTTTGAACATTATTGCTTGTTCTTTGTTTCTAACTTTTGGACGTGTTTTCTGTCCTATGCCATAAGTTAATGGAAACATGTTTCTCAATTTGCAGCTCAGGGACCTCTGCTGGAGAGCCTAAATTAATTCCATCAATATCTGAAGATCTTGACCGTCGCACCTTTCTTTATAATCTCACCATGCCAATTATGAACCAGTAACCTTACATCTTTTTCTTTTTCTTTTTTTTTTCTCTATAGTGATCTCCATTAATTCCGTCAATGTGTCTCTAGATGTGTGTGCATGTGTGTTTGCTCACGTGTTGGACTGGGTAGCAGTTTCATCCTCTAGGAAGGGTTTCTTGAACCTTCTATTCTTAAGAAGATGTTATCCCATGTTTTTTTAAAAGTTCATTGGATCTTCGCTATCCAGCATAAGTTTTGGATTCTCCATTCTGAGCAAGGTCTAAGGATGAGATATGATTTGGTGCAGATAAATCCGAACTGTATAGTGCTTGAAGGGTACACCTTACCATCCATTGACAAGATTGTGAGAAGAATTGGCTGCAAACTTAGAACTTTTAGAAAATAACGCCTACTTGAGTTGAATTCATCAAAACTTTTCAGGTTAAAACAAATATTGGTGAAGCATGTAGGAGTTCTTGCATGAGAAAGCCTCCTAGAGTGAAAGCATAGTGGGTCTATGGATAATATCTGATTCATTGTGGGTCAGAAATGGTTTAGTATATTTTGTTTTAGTCCCTCATCTCACTCTCGCTTTCTCTTATTTTTGACAAGAAAAGTTTGAATAGAATTTAGTACCATGTGAAATCCATTAACTATGTTCTTTTTTGTTTTGGAGAGAGAGAGAGAGAGAGAGAGAGAGAGAGGGAGTATAAAGAACTTTATCCATTCACAAGTTTCTTACTCTTTAGAATTTAGATCATTTTATCAGTGCAAGTTGGTGTTTAATGCGTGAAAAGAACTTTGCTTCCATCTGCATTGAGACTTTTTGCGTAATGAGACAGCACTTTAGCATTTAGGTTAATGAAAGCACTTTTGTAGTGTCTCATATATAATGATCATAAAAAAGATTCAGAACTGAATAAAGAAATTCTCAGTGACACACTAAGGTTGATTTATCCAATGACATGCAACCTTTTGGTTCAAATGATGTCTGTATTGACATTTTGATTTTCAGGTACATTTCCGGTCTTGATGAGGGCAAGGCCATGTATCTATACTTTGTCAAGGCTGAAATGTCTCTACCATGTGGCCTGCCATTTCGAACTGTGCTGACCAGCTACTACAAGAGCAAGCACTTCAAGTGCCGAACACGAGACACATTTAATGATTTTACAAGCCCAGATCAAGCCATCTTGTGCAATGATAGCAACCAAAGCATGTACTGCCAATTGCTAGCTGGTCTAGTACATCGTGACCAGGTTATGAGGCTAGGGGCTGTATTTGCATCGGCTCTTCTCCGAGCTATCTCTTTTCTTGAGCGTAAATGGGTTCATCTATGCAATGATATCCGCACTGGCCAGCTTGACCTTACCATCATAGACCCTGCATGCCGGTCATCAATGATATCCTTACTATCATCACCGAACCCCCATCTAGCAGATGAGATTGAGGGCATTTGTAGCTGTCCATCTTGGAAAGGAATCCTGTGTCACCTTTGGCCTAGGGCCAAGTACATTGAGACTGTAGTCACTGGCTCCATGGCACAGTATATACCAGCTCTTGAGTATTACAGTGCAGGGAAGTTGCCTTTGGTTTGTACCATGTATGCTTCCTCTGAGTGTTACTTTGGTGTCAACTTGAAACCCTTATGTGACCCCGCAGAAGTAGCATTTACCCTCTTGCCTAACATGGGTTACTTTGAGTTTTTACCATTGGCAGAAAATGGAACATTTTCCATGGACATAGATGAAGAGGAGGGGATGCTGAATGACAGACTTATGGATTTGGTGAATGTTAAAGTTGGCTGCTATTATGAATTGGTGGTTAGTACTTTTGCTGGTAAGAACATGAGATTCTTTAAAAGGTTTGTTTCTTGTTAAGACAATTAATTAGCCTAAAAATGGATCTCAGCAATTCTATGTCCAGTTTTCTATTTCACATGAATTCCACATGAAAACTCATGTTTCCTTTAGTTTGCTTGATAACTGATTTGCTTTTGTGAGTCACAATTAGACAAGTCTTTTCTAGAACAGAAATGTCTGTTTGTTGCTATCATAGTTGTCGCCATCTGAACTAGTTGATGCTTGGTTAATGATTCAGGTCTGTATCGATATCGAATTGGAGATGTGCTCCAGGTGACTGGATTTCACAATCAAGCCCCACAATTCCGATTCATCTGCAGGAGAAATGTTGTGCTTAGTGTTGACAATGACAAAACCAACGAGGAAGATCTTCACAGAAGCGTCACCACAGCAAAAACATTGTTAGAACCCTACAATGCTTTGCTTGTAGAATACACCAGCTATGCTGATACATCCACTGTCCCCGGACATTATGTACTCTTCTGGGAAATTCAAATGATAGACTCAGCCACCTCAATTGATGCCAAGCAGCTAGAAGAATGTTGCATTACCGTGGAAGAAGAGCTTGATTATGTTTATAGGCAATGCCGTAGCTGGGAAAGGACGGTGGGACCACTTGAGATACGGGTGGTTGAGCCTGGAACATTCGAGGTGTTGATGGATTTCTTCATCAGCCAAGGGGGTTCAATCAATCAGTATAAAACACCAAGGTGCATAAAGTCTAATACTGCTCTTAAGTTGCTTAATTCTCATGTCTTGGCATCATTCTGTAGTCCTAGGGATCCCAAATGGATTCCCTTGAATGAGTAATATCCGAATCCAAACTTTGTTTTGTTTGGTTTGGTTTATCTTCTCAGTCTATCTACCTAAATTATTGTAGTAGTTTCTAACGTGGGTTGGCAGCACATGCAATTGGATGGCCCAGATTGTCAGACTAAAGCTATGTGTCATTGGCCAATCTGTATCATTTGCAATTGGATATGTCTATTTTCTACCTTAGTCCCATAAATTTTGCAGAAATTTGTTGTATTGATGACAAGATCAGATTGTAACTTAGCTTTTTCATTCCATTCCCGGATGGATTAAAGTAATTAGAGAGATGCACTAGATAATTAAATAATACTAACTGCATTCACATTGATATTAATTATATCCTCTTAACTACTTTAAATGCAATTTTTGTTGCTATCGAGGTATTAATAAATTGATAATAGCCATTCCTCTCTGTCCAAAAAGAAGTTTCAAGTCTGAATTTCTGTCAAACTACAAAAAGTTCAAAAAAAAAAATTTGTTTATGTGCGAATGATTATAAAGGTAGTGTAGATAATTTTTGTAGGGTAAAAATTTGTAGTTAAAAATTCTTACAAGTATATTATTTGGTAAAGGGTTGTGCATATAAGATTATAACCCTATATAAGTGCTAATGGTTGGTTGCATGAGAATATTATCGAGCGATTTTCTGTCGGCACGGCACGTATTTGCGCAAAGGAGCAGTACTGGTACTGGATGACTAGGAAAGCTGCTATCTATCAACAACGAAACATTAGTTTGAAAAGACAAAGCAAAATAACACACTGTGATAATAGCCGCATTTTGCCTTTGTTTCATTGGCCTCAGCACTTGGATTCTAATCACATTAACATTTCAGCCAAAAAGAAAGTGCATACGAGAACTAAGACGAGTGAGATTACGTCAGAATCTTATGCAAAATTTTCGGTTTACTGTAATATTCCATATGATATAATCATCTATCTATAAACATGATTTTTATATTGGATTAATCGTCAGCTCGTTTTTCCTCCAAGAGCATTTAACAGCCTGCAACTGTTGAGTGCACGTGCATGTATATAAATAGAGCCACAGGGGCTTGGTCCATCATGCGGCACAACGCCATGAGCTTTATTGCGGTATTTTCGGGTGCAGCAAGTGTCACCAAGATATTACGTGATTTGTTCTTTGATGAAATTTTCCGGATAATTTGGCACTGAGCTTTATTTCAGTCGCAATCACAATTGTATTCATACCCATCCGTCCAATCCAACAGTCCAGTTCAATTTATAAATTTGACATTAATTCTGTAGCTTTTGATTTTCCTTACTTTTTTTTTTCCACGGGTCTTTGCAAGTGCCCCACCGGGTTTGAAATCCGTGCAGTCTTTGTACATAATCATAACTTAACCATTTACTCCGATAATTCTAGCTCCAGCGTGCCCCATGATGCGCATGCACTCTCTCTCTCTCTCTTTCTTTCTCTCCAATTCAATTTGAAATGATGGATTGAGAAGAGGTGCCAAATCCAATGCCATGAAGCTTTGCTTTCAACAAAATTGTCTGGAATCTGTCGTGTTTCTGGGAGGGAGAAGACGTTCACATGACTCACATTTCGATCTTGCTGCAAGGGCATTATAATCCGTATGGTTGTTAAGTGGTACGACTAGTAAATAATGTTTGTACCTAGGATTAGGGTAATCATCTGTCTTGTTTGATCTTGAACCAGCTTATAACTACCACTCGACTCAAATGGATAATATACAGCTCGCAAACTTGAATGTTTGAAATATAAATTATTTTTTATATTAAAGAGATCGTGTGTGATAGGAGAAAAAATTATAAATGTTGAATTTGAATTTTATATTTATTAAATGTAATTTTTAAAAATAATTATATAAATTAATTAAATAAAATTTTTAAAAATAAAATTTCAATCACATTTATACTAAAAAAAAGATACAAATTGAATATGTAAACAATGTTGTAGAAATTATCATAATTTAATATTTAAGATTATTAAATTATATTTTGCTCACTGAAATTAAAATTTTAATAATTTACTAATAAATCACATGATTTTGACTTGTGTTAATGGACTGCAAACCTGTATTTATATCTGAGTTTATATATATATATATATATATATATATATATAATCTCTTTATATAGATTTCTCTTTAACATCCTTTCAAGTGATAATATATTCATTTAAGAAGATAAGATCTCCAATGGAAGAAGGATATTTTTTCGTGTGAAAAACAAGTATTGTCCCCTCTAAGATCACCCTCGCTCCCCTCACCACATGCAGTGTCATTACTATACTGCCCACTTCCAAAAGAAATTTACGAGTACAATGAAAAAGAAGAAAGCGACTTCTAAACAACTTCAAAGGGGGGTACGCTATGAAATATCATCTTTTTTAGCGCAATATTGATGTCAAATCCAACACTATAAATATTGTGTTTAATCCTTGAAAAAGATTGTAAAATCATTTAATTTTAACAATTAATGATTGTTTAAGGTGTTAAAAATTGGATTATCAAGGGATCATGCTCTTAAGTTCATCGAATGAGGCATCCATTGGGATGATATTTGGGAGCTTTAGACTTTGATTGGTCTATGGTTGGGAACATATTTTCAAAGAAGAACAGCTTTCAAAGTCCAAAGTGTAAATGATGAGAATAAAAGTGAGGGTGAAATTGGAAATGAGTATAGTGTCCAAAGAAAATGCACTTAGAAAGTTGTAGGGAGTAAAAGCAAAGACAGACAGGGATGAAAGTAGATTCGATTACTATCGAAAATCGACACCGCAATCGGCCAAAGGAAAATGCTCTTTCTCTTAACAAAGTGACCATATATAGTACGCAATTTTCAAAGGCAAAATTTTGTGGATAAGGTTGTTGATCAGGTGGGACCAGATTAAGAAATTAATTAATGTTAATTATTCCCTCTTTTTTTTTTTTGGTCAGATGTTTGCATTTTGAGGGGCTGATAAAAAATATCTGCCCCATCTCTGATGTTTTGGTGTAACTGCATGCCACTAACAAACACAAGCCCTAGACCAAGAAATTTCAAATATGCCATCTCGAAAGTAGAGGCAAACTCAGGAAAGTCAATTTAGAAGTTACTCACTTTTCTCTCAGTCTCACCGTTTACTTTTTGGGCCACAAAATCATTGAAAAAAGGGTTGGTTTCTGCATTTTTTTGGGCTTAAGCTGCCCAAGTAATATTTGAGACATGGGTCTTTAATAAATCCACATAAAACAAAAGAACACTGCAAGCAAAAGGTAGATCATGCGGTTACTATCAAATGCGAATCATTAATAGTTACTAGCTAGTTTCCAATAACCAATACATTCAACCTAACATCTGCCAGATTATTCTAATAATTTAAAGCTTATCAAAGCGTATATGTATACTATAACATAGCTGAGAGGTTTTAAATAAATGAACGAAAGCTAATCTTTATGATGTTCAGAGAGGTAGGATCTTGCAATTTTCCCATTTGCACCCTCAGGAAAGAACCCACCAGGCTTATGCTCATCGCCATCTCCGTACACTACCCTTAGAATCTCTGGCGGAGTTCTTGCATAGGAGAGTGAATTGGTGTCAGCTGACAGGATGTTACTTGTAGTTCGGTTCTCAGCCCCAAGCTTCAAGGGTACTATTAGACCTTCATCTTTGATATCGCACTTGGCAAGCTGGTTTCTTAGCCCTGATATCACGTTTGTGAAGTCAGCCACTGTTATGTCATAAGTTACCACTTTTTCACAGGCTTTCCCATAGAGCAATGCTCGTAAAACTGCATCTTGTCCAGATTCCACCCCCAACAGTGACGCAACCAACTATAAGAGTAATTAAAAATAGTCTTAAATATCTGAAGTGTCAACAGAAAATTCAAGCAAATTATGAGAAATTTTATATATAAAGTTCACGATTTAAACACTGGGTATGGATGAATAGGATAGAAAGGGACTGTTGTTTAGTCTTTACCCTTCTTGAAGTGTAGTTGGCGAGGTATGGGATAGTACCGACATAGCCTACGAGTCCCATATAAGGGATAGCATATGATGCTGTGAGAAAGTTGGCGGTGTCGGCATAAGGGTCGAATGGAGGATCCAGACAGTACCCTACTGCTTTGTCAAATAGTTTGGCAAAATTTTCAGAGCTGATATCTAACAGAGGCCTTGGTATTCCACCTACTGTTGTCACAATGGCCCTGCAAATATAGACAAAAATGTTTTATTCATTTCAACATGTTACTGCTAAGAGGAGATGTTTAGCTGCCTAATTAATTTTACCTGAGATGACCAATTTCCTGATAACCAAATTCCTCGATAATTTGACGAGTAACAGGATCAAGATTGGCCTTCCTGGCACCAATTGGAGGAGGTCCACCCTTAGCCAATTCTGGAGCAAAAGCGTCTAGACCTTTCCCAAGTGCATCATAAGTGAAATATTCTGCTTCTAGGAATTCCAAGTTTTGAGCAAATTGAATTCGATCCCTATCGTTGGCCTCGAAAGGTCCACAATCATGATGAGCAATAACTGCGACCGTGATGAGTTGCAATGAAAGTAGAAAGAGAATTCGAGCATAGGAGGTTGATGCACTAGCCATTTTCTAAGTAAATTGATCGTACTATCCAATTTTGTTACGTGCATGTATGAATGGACTAGTATATATATAAGTAGCTTTTACACAGTGTAAAATCCCCACACTTGGGATTCGTTTTACAAGAAAAATGTATGTGCATGCCATGTTGGGATATTAACTCTGAGTTTTTGCCAAGTTTCCCTAATGTTTTTGAAGACTGCAAGCAATAGCTATACTCGAAATAACTACTCTTATCAACTTATGGTTAGAAATGCCTTGCGTTTAGCAATTGGTTAAGCAAATTATCTTATAATGCTACCGCAAACTGCTAACTCCAATTTTTTCTTATTCATTTTTAGGTGGTAATTGCTAGACGCATGTTATTGTCAATTGACACAAGTTAGCGCAAGAGCTTACATGATGCGTATTTCAAACTAATTTAATAAATTTGTCGATGGAGTTGGTAGTAAGCAACAAATTACAGTAATTTAAAGTTACAATTAGTTCAATAATTGAAGAAGGCGAGAAGGAACATCAAACTTTGTATATCTATCAATCCTCATCACAGTCGTGCCCGATTCCACTTTGAAAGCTGCCTTAATTTCTATGAAAAGATTCTTAGAAAATAAGTAAGAAGGTTTATAATTTAAAATGGAGAGAAAGAAGTTGGTATATATAGTTACATGCAGTTAATTTTAAGCTGGGAAAAGTTTCATTATAAATAATGTGAATTTAAAGTTGAGTGTTAATTCAAATGATTCATTCACTTTTTTTAAAAGTTGAATTTTAGCAAAATTGAGATTCAATCTCTAAATCTAATTGCAAATTTCTCTTTCTAATTTTTCCCAAATCACGACCTCTTTTATAAAAATAACAATAATAATAATATGAATTTGTTGCATCTCACAACCTAAATATTTTAAAATATATCTTTGGAATTTACATAATTGAATCTCTTTTTACATTAAATAACTTACTATTAAAAATTAAGAACGATATATTGTGTGCCTCAAGTTTTTATAGACTTAAAATGATATATCTAGAGATTGTTCTAATTCATTATCTCTTAAATAATTTTATTTTTTTTTATAAAAAAAGGTCTAAGGCTTAAGGGATTAAAGAAAAGAAATTTGCAAGTACTAAAAATTAAATATCAATCTTGTTGAATCCATCTTTTAAAATATATGGATGGATCATTCAAACTAAACCTCATATTCTTTTAAACACTTTACAATGATGACTATTAGTAATATTTAGCATCAATGCACCAACAACTAGTTTGATCATAAAGAAATACAGACTCTAATTAAGAAGAGGCTTCAAACTTTGGGTGGACTCTCAGATTAATCCCAAATTGGGAATTAAAAGTGTATGACATTGTAAATTACGAGTCCTAAATTTGATCATAAGTCGAAATCTTAATTTTCAACTTACTTTATATATATATATATATATATATATATTGCTTAAATTTGAGAATTCAAGTTACACGTTCACAACCTACTTCTGCTATTATGTAAGTCAACATCTCAACTAACAGTCATTTACTTTCTTCTTAATTATGTTGTGTGTACCATTAAATGAATTATTAAAAATAGAAAGGTCTATTCATCAAACAAAAATAAAAAACTTTGCATCATATAAGAAAGTTCAAATATTCTATGTTTACCCAACCAAGCAACCGAAGTCCAAACTAATAACAAAACTGAGTCTTTGACCCTTTGTTTTGTGTTTGCGGCAATTTTGATTTAAGATTTAAGATTTTACTTCCATATTTATAAACTGCTTGAAACTAATTACCTTCATTATTAAAATAACGCATATATCTAAGAATTTTATAGTAATTTTTATTACAATATATATATAAATCCACTCGAGATTTTCACATCGTCTATAATTATATAATCTCAAATGCGTATTATTTTATAATTAAACCATCCTAATTATAAGTCTTTGATAATATTACTGATCAAGCAGTATTATTTTCTCCCAAGCTTTTCTATGATATATATATATATATATATATATATATTCAGGGAAGGAATGTCATGGCAATTCGCCCAGATCCACCATTAGGAAGAAATCCACCAGGCCTACTCTCGTTGCCGCTTCCGTATAGTATCCTCAAAATTTCCGTTGGTGTCCGTGAATACGAAAGGGAATTAGCATCCGCCGATAGGATGTTACTGGTAGTTCGATTCTCTGCTCCCAGTTGCAATGGTACTATTAAACCTTCATCCTTTACCCCGCACATGGCAAGCCGGTTCCGAAGTTCTGAAATGTGGTTAGTGAAATTTGCTACGGTCAATCCATATGGTATGACTATCTCATTAGCCCTCTGGTACAGTAATGCTCGTATAACTGCGTCTTGTCCAGCCTCCACTCCCAACAAAGAAGCAACCAGCTACACCAACAAGTATACCATTAAAACAAAAATTAGGACATAAAATATAAAATTTCTCGACACAGAAATTAGTTAAGGTGACATTTTAGACAGATTCAACAGAGAAATTAAGGTTTTTACGGCTCGATTGTTGCTGCTGACAAGGTTAGGAATAGTGCCAACATAACCTACAAGTCCCACATAAGGGATAACGTACGATGCCAAGAGAAAGTTGAGAGAGTTGGCGTACGGATCGAATGGAGGAGATAATGTGGTATTCGTTGCTAGGTTAACTACTTCGGTGAAAGCCTGAACGGTTAAATTCAGTAGAGGTCTCGGAATTCCTCCTACGGTTCTTATGATGGACCTGCAAAATAATTGTTTAATGTCGTCATTGATTAATGCATGATTTGTTCCAATTAGTAGCAGTACTGTCATGCAAAAATATAGAGCAAAGGTGGGATCTAGCCGCAAGGGAACCTGAGATGTCCAATTTCCTGATAACCAAATTCCTCGATAATTGAACGGATGGTTGGATCAAGATTGGCTATCCTTGCACCCACTGGAGGAGGACCGCCTTGGGCAAAAGAAGGTTCGAAATCATCCACCCCCTTACCAAGTGCACCAAACAGAAAAAATTCTGCTTCGAAGAATTCCAAGTTGAGGGCGAATTGAACTCGGTCTACATCGCTAGCCACAATCCCTCTGCACTGAGGAAGAGTAACCCCCATAACCGTAACGAATTCCAATGCAAGAAGAAGCAGCAGGAAGGCAGACAAGCAAGATCGATGAGCCATTTTGTTTGATTACTTAAAAAGCACCTGATTCATATATACCTGTTTGAGAGATGGGTGCAGGAGGGAGCTTTTATAAAGAAAAATGGTGAAAATGTAATTAAGAGAGATCGAGAGAGTCAGATTCCAAAAATAATAACCTGTTAGATGTGTATGCAACATAAATGTAGGTTGAAATTAGGATTGCAAAGTGAATTAATGTTAGACTTAGATTTATGGTCTAAAACTTTCGTCAAAATCTTACAACTAGAAGCAAATAACTTAGCAAAGCTTGTTCTAGTTACATACTCCGACGTCCAAATGTTATTAAAAAAAAAAAAGTGAACAAGAAATCATGTTAAATGTAACAACAGAGCAATCTAATTATTATTTTAAGCTGTAACATAAAATGATTGAATGAAAGTTTCATTAGTCTTCTCAAAATCTTGTCCAAGGCTCTATTTGATAGGAAGTCTGAAAAAGCTTAATATGTACTATTTTAAAAAACATTAAAACTTAAAAATATTTGTATAATATTTTTAAATATATTTTATAATTAAATTTAAATAAAATAGTTTTATTAATTAAATAATATTTGGAGCAAGAGTGGACTGAATGCTAGGTGTATTGTATTAACTATTCTAATTCAAAAATTTTCAATTCAAGTTAAGATAAAATTGAATTGCCAATTCAAGTTGAAATGAAGGAATCAAAGCACAAACAGATTAAATTTATCACTTTTAACCATTCCTAATAGAGGTAAGCCTTATCAAGTGGGGGATTCTAAAATTAGGATTATGAATTACCTATATATGGTGGATTCTGAAATTTTTGGACAACGAACATGTCCATAATTAATTTTATGAGATTACAGACCACCTTGAAGGGTTGGTCCATGATTGATTTTATGAGATCACGGACCACCTTTAAGGATTGGTTCATTGCGATCCATGATAAATTTGAAATCCTAAAATTTTTTAGATAAAATATAAATAAATAGTAATTTTTTGATATCATAAATTATAAATTATAAATACATAGTCCAAATTTATAAATCCACATTAAAATTCGTATTAAAATTACTTATTAAATTAACAAAAAAATTCACATTTACCATCAATAAGTTAAAAAAATCTTCAAATTTGAACATTATAGTACACATTCTTATTCACCTATGATAAAGCAGAATAAATGAACAAATAAAATAGTAAGATATAAAAAATAATAAAAACTAAATTCTAGACTAAAACAAAATATTTGTGTACAAATGGTATTACATTTTTTCCTATCGTTTCTAGAATCTGCATACTTTTAACCAGTCCAAATAGCAATCCAACAATTCAATCCATCGATCTAAAACGATTGAGTAAGCATTTAAGACCCTAAACCATCCTAATGGATTAAAACCATTTTAAAAGTTATCCACATCCAAAAGTTCAAGCGGTGACGTTGGACCATTACTCACCCTTTCTTAATTACTAGTTGAAAATTCAAGCTCACCAGTCACCATTTAGCTAAGCCACTCTCATACGCTATCATCAAATCAAAATCACCATCAGAGAAAATGGTAATATTGACATAATTTTTCATCGATATTCTATGGTTATTCTTCATTGTGGCTTGATAAGACAAACCGAAATAATTAAGTTTTGTGAACCAATATAAATCTTCACAGAAGCGGCGCAATTTGAAGAAGAAAAAATAAGGCAACCTCAAATGCTGAAATAAACAGCTGAAAATGTGGTAGAAGAAATCTGCGCCGATTTTGAAAACTTGGCTTGCGCGATGAAAGCAACACCCAATGCCTTGTAATATGGTTTGCTGAGAAGAAGATTTTTCAGCCTATGTAAAGCCTTGCGCTGCAAAGATTTGGATCATCCAGAAAATCTAAAATGATGTAGCAAGAAAGTTTGAAAAAAAAAAAAATTTAGAGAGGGAGTAAGCAGGAAAATAAGGTACTGTTTCATGGGGGGGTTTTTATTAATTGGTTTTTACTTTGGGTAGTAAAAAAGATAAAATGCATGGTTTCGCTCTTACAAATTATGCTATACATTTTAATTATTTTTACCGATTTCAACTAATCAATTCTTGCATTGTTTTTAACCATTTACTTTTGTTTTCTGTATAGCAAAAATTTTCAAAACAAAAAAAAAAAAAGGCAAATAACAAAAAATAACTAATAAAATTGTAAAAGTATACCAAGAAAAAGGTACGTGCGTTCGTCCATATCTAACTTAATGGCTCTACCTTTTCCCATAAATTTTTTGTACCTCCTTTGACAAGAAAACTTTAAAATTTTGGCATGCTACGAATAACCATAAGGCTAAAAGTAAGATTTAAGCCCTTGTCAGTAAAAATGAGTAATTGATCGAATTAATTAGTTTGATTTGAAAATATTAATAATTAATTTAATTAATGTTTATTTAATAAATAATTAAATTGATTGAATATTATTAAATAATTTATTATAATTGAATTGATTAAATTTGATTTGATTAGATCGATTCGATTAAATAATTAATTTTTAATTTTTTTTATTATAAATAATTATTTAATTATAAATTTAATTTAATAAAATTCAAACTCAAATATCATTTAAACTAAATGATTAAAAATTTTAATAATTTTAACAATACTTTACAAGAAAAAAAATAAAAATATTTATCTTAATTTTTTTATTTTACTTATTAAAAAGTTAATTAATTCAATCAGTCCGATTATCAATTTTAAAAATCAAAAACCTAATTAATAAATTTAATCAATTTAAAAAAATAATTATAACTAAAATTAAATAAACCGAATCGATTCAATCAAATTTACTTTGTTTCGATCAATTTAATCGATTCAAATCGACTTTTGTTCACCCCCATTTGCTAGAGCCCATTCAATGTCATTTACTCCTTCAGGATCAGCCCAAAAAAGGATAAATTGATTGAGCCTGTTCCTGGGCCGGGCAGGCGAAGCCCAATCAATTTTTTAAATGGCTTCCCCAAGATGAGGCCCATACGATAAAAAGCTCAAATTTTTTAAAAAAATTAAAATATTATTAAAATATAAATATTTGTAACGATATTTTTTATTAATAATTCAATATCCGGGCCTGATCTGACTCGTCCACCAGGCCTGTAGACATGTCTAATTTAGCCCCTCACGAAGCTAATTTTGCAACCAAATGTATGGTGGTGGCCTGCACCAGCGAGCGATTGGGGGCATTGCTTAGCTAGAAGAGGCATTTTCTTACTACAAAATAGTACTAAAACATACGAAATCTCTGCAGCATGGCGATATCAGACTAAAACTCCAGCTAATAAAACAAATACCAGAGAACAAAAAAGCCAAAAAAAAAAAAAAAAAAAAAAAAGAAGACGACTCCAGACCAGAGAAACAGAGCCCAGCTTCAAAGAACCTCCAAAACAAAGACGGCCCTAGAGTTTAGACGGGACCAAATAACGAGTAGATATAAATAATGTGCAAAATGCCTGACTACTGCTCAATCAAATAATATAATCCCAAAGCTGCTATATTATTTATTGTTCAAATCACTAGTACCATATAATCTGCATGTGTTTCTTTACATGCATTGTTTATCTATATATACATATATATATATATATGTGTATATAATACATATACATATATATATATATGTCTTATTGCCATCTAATAATGCATCAAAGCTCTTAGCTAATTAAATCCTCTGCTCCAAGTTGCAATGGTACTATGAAACCTTCATCTTTCTTACTGCGCCTGCCAAGTAGGTTCGCCAATTGTATGAGACGATTGGTGAGATTTGCAACCGTGGATTGTTAAGGCGACCCTGACAGATAGGCAAACTCCTATGTGAAACAGGTGAAACAGGGAATGCACAGTGCAAAACTCGCTAGCAATATTTCATTCCAGTTATGAAAGAAAGCATCCTAGAAATTATGGTCAATATTTGAAACTACCATTTAGCCTAGGTAGACCATGTGCTCAATCAAGCATTTTAGCCATTCTCTTTCTCTTATCAGACAGAACAAGGATTCTCAATTGTCATTAGGGAATAGTCCAATAGTGTAGACTGGTAGGGTGGAGTCCGATGATGCCCTGCCTCTATTTCCTTTCCTTCCTTTTTACTCATTCTTTCCAGGCATAGGCTACAGGCTACTAGATTTCAACAACTTTATAGAAAGAAACTACTTCAAGCAGAAAGTTGAGAGGGATGTTATTTTGGTGGAGCGAATGAACTAGTCAAATGAAATGGTTAGAATTTACAGAAAGAAATCGTAAACATGTTTAAAAAAGCAACAGATAAATCCCAAAGTCTTAAAGCAGCTCTGTAAAGTACCTGAAATTGCATTTCAACTTGTTTTCAGAATTTGGCAATAGAAAATAAATATACTAAACTTTTGAGTATGGGAGGGAGCAACGTACTTGAAAAAAAAGTATTTTTTGTTCCATTTGAAGTTAGAGATCCAACTGAGTGGTAAGCAACTTTTATTATTAAGTAAACAATGATGAAATGAGAGACCTCTCACTGCTCAATCACACGCTTCGCACCGTCTATGGTATTCCTGAGCAGCATTGCAACCGTCATTGGGCCAACACCACCAGGAACAGGAGTTATCCATCCAGCAACCTTACATGCTTCCTGGAAATCCACATCTCCCACTAACCTGTATCCTGCCTTCTTAGTTGGGTCATCAACAGCATTTGTTCCAACATCAATAACTGCAGCCCCAGGTTTGATCCAACTGCCTTTGATCTGGAAGTTAAATAGAAGAATTTAAAAATGAACAAACCATACCATTTCAGAACAACCAAAGTAACATCATTCTGCAAACATAAATGATGAAGCCCACGCAGAGGAATTGAGGATCAATTCTTTGATCCGCAGCAAACCAAACAACAATTAAGGTTCCCTTTTATTTTTCCCTTTTTTTCCTAGATAAATACATTCAAAGTTTCAAACAAGGTAATATTAAGGATATTTGAGGTTGTGTAGTGCTTCAAGTAAAGTGTTTTCTTGTATTTCATAATCATGTCATAATCCAACAGGACCCAGCCAACACTATTACTCAGCAAAATTAAGCTATAACTAAACCTGGGTGCTAAAATCTAATGGGAGAAGCAAATACAAGGATAAATAATTGAATATGCTAGGCTAGAACAGAATAATTTAAATGGTTTGTGCAGCTAAAAAGCAAAATATATAGTTACCATCATAGCTTGTCCTGCTGCAGCGATAATAATGTCAGCTTCACGAACTAGCCTTTCAGGATCTGGAGTACGTGAATGAACAATGCTAACAGTAGCATCTGCCTTAAGCAGCAGCAAAGAAACAGGCAATCCAACTATGTTACTTCGACCCACAACAACAGCCTGTTTTCCCCTTATGCTTATACCACTTCTCGATAGCAGTTCAAGGCAACCCTGCAGAAAAAGAGGGTAAACTATTAAAAAAATATTCTTCGCAAAAGAACTAGAAAAATCATTATTACAATATTTGACAGCATGGTAAAATTGCCTTGGGAGTACAAGGATGGAAAAGGGGTTCTCGGCCTTTCATTGCAAGTTTGCCAATATTCAAAGGATGAAAACCATCTACATCTTTCTCAAGACTGATTTCACTCAGAACTTTCTCTTCATTTATGTGCTTTGGTAAGGGGAGCTGAACCAATATACCTATTAACGCAACAAAAAATACAACATTAAAAACAAAGCAATTGATCTACAAAAAGCTAAGATTTTTACATTTCCCACCAATCAAAAATGCATTTTTTTTCCTTCAGGAAACTTAAAAGTAATCTCAAGGTTTTATATCTTCATTGATATAAAGCTAGAAACATTAACCAACCATGTACATCAGGATTTGAATTTAACTCGTGAACTTTGCTGATCAACTCGGATTCCGGTACGTCCTCAGGGAGGTCCACATCAAAAGACTTAATCCCAACTTCAGCACAGGCTTTTCTCTTCATTCCCACATAGCTTTGAGAATCTTTCCTATTCCCAACAATTAACACAGCTAGCCCTGGCACCTGGATAGAGTAACATCAACTTTCCCAATCTACCCATAATAAATTAAATGAAATTATTGACCCTTTGCCAAATCAAATTCAAAAACACTAGTTTATACCCTTACCTTGCCGTATTTCTGGGAGAGCTGGCGCACCTCGGCGGCAATTTCAGATCTGATTGTCTGAGCGATGGCTTTGCCGTCGATGATGGTGGCTTTGTGATCAGATGGAGACGCCATTTGGGTGGATAGATTGCGGTGGAGAAGAGCGGTCTAAGATTGGCAACAACGATTCATTGAATTTCAACAGCCCATAGCGTTAAGGTGAGGCAGCTGCTGACGTTTGGCACCGCTCTCTTTCATTTTTCCTTTTTTTTTTTTTTACATGACTTTTTTAGAATGAGAAAAATTTTATAAAATTTACATATTAATTCTATAAATTTATATCTTTAAAATAAAGTGAAAAAAATATGGATCTTTTGATGAAAGAAAAAAACGATAAGTCACCTAGAAAAAGAAAAAGAGAATTATAATGAGAAAAATTTTAAAATAAAAATTACGTTTTTTAAAATATTTATAATTTATAATAATTATGTTTAAAACCTATTAAATATAAATTTTATTGATTATATTTTAAAAAAAAAAAAAAATCAATTCAGTAAGCCCTTAACTTCGACATTTCGTTCAAGCTCCAAATATTGAAACTATATATGAAAAAAATGGTTTTCTTAAGACAATAATACTCTGCTTAAGCTTGATTATAAGTTATGAACTCTATAATTGCAGCAAGTTCATTTCTCTTCGATCTTCACTTCTTTTATTTTTTTTAATGAGAAGAAAAAGGAATTTGCAAAAGTATTTTAGGACATCAACAATATATAAATCACTTCATTTCCTCATCAAACTGGTCATAATTAACAATATATAGTTTTGTCTTTCTTTATTTCTACAATATTTGATACTTTTGCTCCATCAACCAATATAGTTACAATATATATTTTCCTGAAACACCTCAACCCAAAGCCTGGCTAGGTGTGGCTCCAGGAACCCAAGAACATTATGGTTCTAATGGGGTCTTCAGTAGAGTAGCTCCCGTTTCGTCTCCCGATTTCTTTCGAAATCAGAACCCTATGCCCCCTTTGAACCCCATTTCTAACCATGGCGTCCGTGGCCGCCTGGCACACTTGCTTCAATATTTTCCTTATCGTTCCCTCTGATTCAACTATCAGAGAATCATCATTGGAGAGGCTTTGAGGCTTCATCTATGCTTTAATGCTTTTGTGATTTTAGGCTGTGATATTGGAACTATAGATTGAACAAATGTGGGAATATATAGAAAACTTAAAAGGGAAGAGATGCCATGGCTTGTGGGTGGTAGGACCATTTTCCTTTCAAGATAGGATAGATTCCTCGTGCTTGTGGATGACAGATCAACTCAACATGACGATTTGGTGTCCCAAATCGTATGGACTGTTGTCTTTTAATCCAGTTTATGTACTAGTATTTCTTCATTATATTGAGGGTTTGTGACCATATTTTCATTCAGATATTAGTTATATTGGTATCATAATAAAGGAATACACAAAAAAAAAAAATAGAGCAACATATTGATAAACCCAAAAGAAAATATCTAAAACTATCTCGTGTATACGATCATATTCTTTTCTTGAATAAAATTTTATATGCATGTCAATTATAAATAAATAGGAGCAAATAATCATATAAATATATAATTATTGTTTATAATTATATAAAAAAGGTGACATTCAAAGACAAACAAATAAAAAATGAACATATTTTCTATAATTTTGTTAGAAAAAAAATACAAATTTTCTTCTACCGATTCCATCCTGAAATGCAACATGTTTTACTCTTAGCCGCGTGTTAAGATTCCCCCAAAAATTCGGATTTGCTTTTTTGAGTGCCCAGGCCCAAATATTCCGATGTTGTAAAAGTCACAAAACTTCGTGGACAGCGGGTAGTAATCACATCAAATAGAAAAAAAAAAAAAAAAGTATACTATTCAAATAGAAAAAAAAGCATAAATTATACTATTGATCGTTGAGTTTTGATAAACTTTTTATTTTGATCATCTTAGTCATCAGTATTTTTTTGAAATTTTTTATTTTAATCATCCAACCAATAATGAATAATTAAATAATGATATAATTTATTAATATATGATAATCTAAAAAATATCACACAATTATATAATAAAATACAATATAAAAAATAATTTAATTTAAATTTTTATCAATAATTATATATATTTAATAAAATAAAAAATATATATTTCATATTTTTAAATTCTAATATATATCATTTTTATTTAAAATAAAACATAAATAAATAAATTTTAATATTTTATACCATATAAATATATAAATTTCCTTACTCGCCATAACATGACAGCTCGACAGTGACGTTGACGGGGCTAAGCTTTAATTCTTCCCACCTCCCAAAAAAAAAAAAAAAACCTGATTCTTTAAAAAGAATTCATGGCGCGTCATTTAAGCTAGATGATGTGGCCACTACATCATACGTGGCAACCCACATCACCATTATGCTATTTAATAAAATAAAAAAGTTTAGAAATGTGGGTGATTGAAACGTTACATTTGGTAGTTAATTAGATAATTAAAATAAACACTAAAAGGATCAAAATTGAATTATCAACTGCGTAATTTATTGAACAAAAATTCTTTTCCAAGCATGATATTACGAATTTGAATGTCAGAGGAAAGCAACCACTTAAACTAGCTTGGCTTACATAATTTTTTGATGTGATCAGATAAGTGTAATATTGTACTAAAGAAAAAGTGATATTATTTAAAGAAATTATTTTAATAATTGTCAATATTTTTTAAAAAATTTTACAAGTTAATTTTACAAGTTAGATTAGTAGGATGATACATATTTTTCAAAATATATTTAAAAATAAATAAAAATTAATTTAAAAAATTAGATATGTGTTATCTCATAATTTTATTTAAGAAATTAAAAATTGACACTAACAATATATTAAATACTAACTATATTATTTAAAATTATTTAATATATAATTTATGATAATAATTTTGCATTAAATACAAATTTAATAATTTTATTTATGATTTTCAATGCATTAGGTGATGATATTTATAAATATAAATATATATATGTATAATGTTTTTAAAACGCTCGTTAATAGAATAAAAAAAAGTATAGATTATATGGTCATTTAATTAGGTTCTATCTTTACTCCTGCCAATTTTCTCCAAGGGAATTTTTTATGATTTTAGCAGATTATTACTTTGTTTTTTTTTTTTTTTTTTCCTTTTTCCTGTTTGTTAACGATTTTTGCAGATTACTGAAAGGGGCACTGTAGGGCCCATGATTTTATATTTGGGTCCAGCGATAACCTCGTTGGATACAAGTTGAGCCCTTTGGTGATTCATAAAGTTCAAAACAAAGTCTACAAATATAGAGACAAGGCTTAACGTCAAAGCCCGAGTACTCCGACGATCAAATGGGCTTTCATTGCGTCCAAAACAATGAATATACAGTTATACACAAAAAAGAAATAATCATTTTTTTTTTTTGTTTTTAGGAGAAATTAATTGCTTTTTTTACCCTAAATCAAAGGGAGCATTTCACTCACAAATCAGTCACAATTTAAAATCATCCGGGGTCCATCAAATATTAATTTAAAACTGATATTTATAAGTGATAAATTTTTGCATAATTTTTTTATTGTGATTGAACAATAATAATATTATAATAAAAAGAATATAATAATAATATTATAATTTTTTTATTGTCAAATAGAAATATAGTATATGAAAGTGCCCAAATTGTTGAACTTTTTATAATTTTTTGAACAAAAAAGTTTAGAATGATTGACTTTCTCATTTAAAAATCGCATACTTCAGAAAAATTTTATATTTGATTTATAAACCATCCACCAAAAAAAAAAACTGATAATGTAATTCAAATTTAATTAATCATAGAAATAAAACCTTCAAATATTATCAACTCAACCGACCCAAGTGACAAAAACTTAACGCAGAATCCAGTGGTCCAAATAAGGAAGTGGTCGAAAATGTTCCCGTCCCTTTGTTTTAGTGGCTCGGTCAAGATTCCATTCATTAAGCTATTTGGTGGTGGCATGAAACTAGTACTCCCACTACTCTATTAACTCGTGACCTCCTATTTTAGAAAAAGAGATCCCTCACTTGTGGGGCGGCATTTACACATCTCACCCACAAAACAGATAAATTGGTGGGTGGGTGAGTAGCCATTGGATTGAATCATATTATAAGCTGGGATGCATGTATTGATGTACAATTTTTATTGTCCTCTTTGATTCCCATCAATCTTTGTAATTAATTCTTATCCATAAGCATACCGCCATAAAATTTTAAGTTGTCTATCAATCGATGAGCCATACAAAGTGCAACAGCATATTTTTCTTGTCCAATAGCTTTTGTGTTTTACTTTAATTTTTGTTAGCAAATGCATGATTAACCATAAATAATTGCAAGATCCTCGGGATTGAATAAAAATCTAGGGAGAATTCTCCATTGATGCAAAGGTTAATTTTACCAAGAAAACTCTCCATTATATTAATTACCTCATTAAGTCTTTCTCCTCTATGATCTATGATTCACACATTTTAATGTGGTTGCCAATATTAGTATGTTATCCAGAACATAATAAGTAGTATTTCTCATGGAACTTGCTACAACAAGTTAATTATAACCAAGGAAAGAGAAAGGCGTCTCATTTGGTCGGTGAGAGAAAGAACAAATCTATGAAATGTGTCTGCTTTTGACCTAGATACCCTTTGCACTGATTTCTCCTTTGTTATTATGAACTGTCCTATACATTAGCGTCCCAGTTCATTTCTATTTCTGCTTTCACGTCGAAAATCTTACAAGATCTTTATTTTGTCCTTTCGGTTAATCTTACGATATCTTTAATTTATCAAACATTAAAGGAAAAAAGATGTGGTGTTGAAGCTTGTGAATCATGTGGATATGATTCAAGATTATATCGCAGTTTGCATTCATGTGAGCAAAGAGCAAATCAGTCATATGTTTGCAGGGATGGTATGGAGTTTGAACCAGTCGGGAGAGGAAAGTATAAGCATATACATTGTATTATTCCCCAATTTTCCTTCCAAGATATGAAAAGAAAGTATAATTCACCATGAATATTCTGCTTCAGATAAAAAAGGTAAGATAGTGGGGATATGAGATCTGCTATATAACCATTTAGAAAGTTATGATTGGGGTTTCAGGTTCTCCCTTTCTCCTTTTCATAATTGAAGCAAAAACTTATTTCAAATAGTTGGTGAAAGCTGCTTTTCACACTTTACTTACTTTTATTCTTGTTATGTATGGTATAATCCAAATTTAAACATGGTTTTTCGGGTTTGATTGGCTTAACTGAAATTTTGGGTGGATAAATAAAGAACAGATAGTTTAGTGATACTGAATGGATGTCAGAGTTAAAAATCTTAAATTTGATTCCCAATCTAGTCCAAAAGATTAAAAAAAAAAAAAAGTAAAAAAGGTAATATGTATTGACAATTTATCACAATCTTCAACATAAATTAATTAATCGATTAAACAGTCAATTCCTATAAAACGTCCCTAAGAATTGTAGCAGTACTTCTAAAGTTTTGATTTCAAAGTCTAGCAATTAAACAAGCTTTTTTTCCTCTGGGAGAAGTGGGAATCTGCTAATATGCCTCCATGTTGAAAGCAAAAGGCATGCATACAATAGGAAGATGCTTTAACCAAAGAAAAATGCACTTCCAAAGATATACCGGCACTAGTCTTCATCACAGTTGCTGCTTCATGTATTTTAAAAGAAGTTTTTTGTTTTTTTTTTTTTATAAAGAAAGTCCAATAAAAAGAAATCGAAAATCTTCAATTCAGTCTTTTTCCGCTTTAATTAATGAGAAAATGAGGTATAGGAAGAGAGGGACCAACATTAAACAAAAAAAAAATCTTCTTTACTCATAAGAAAGAGGGAAAGGGAGAGATTTTGAGGTCCTACAATAAGCAAATACCAAACCCCTAAAAGCCTGAATTAAACCCCTGCGCTGAACGAGACCCAAAAAACAGTAGCAAATTACGGAGAAGCTAGATAACGACAACCTAGTCTGTACAACTATATATAAAAACCATCCAAACCCCAATAAAAAGTAAAACCCACTTTTTTTTTTCCTAGCGAAATAGTGTACTGTAGATTTTTTTTTTTTTTTTTTTGCTTTTTGTTTGCATCTTCCAAAATTAATCCTTCCTATCCCCTCTCCATTAAACGGTACACCTTATAATACTAACATAAACATGTACTCCTTTTCTTCAATGTCTCGTTCACATGATCGAGCAGCCACCTTGTTCATCATCATAATCGTAATAATCATCTTCATTGATTTTTTCGATTGGATCAGACGGTGGAGCTGGTGGTCCGTTTTCATTAAAAAGGACGGTAGGGGTATAAAATGAGGAGCCTGAGCTAGGATAAGTGGTGTTATGACTTACTCCATACAATGGAGGTCCATAGCACATATGTGAGAATGGATACATAGGCTGATTTGGAGGGCTTAGATTGATTGATGTCATAGGTGGGGCCTGGTCTGGATGGGCCAGAGGTAATAGAGTGTCGCCGGATGCATCACCATTGGGACCAGGGTTGCCTTTCTGCCCTTTCTTTTTCTTCTTTTTACCTCCATTACTACCACCTCCAGAACTTTCGGCAGTGTCTGGTTCCTCGCTTTCACCTCCCATTTGGTCCCCTGTTGGAGGCTGGTCATCTCTAGCAGAGCCTTTAACACCACCCGCACCACCATTTTTGGCAGCGGCTAATTCAGGATTCTCTGCTGAGTTATTGTTTGGGTCATGATTATCACCAGCTTCTTCCTCGTCTTTTTGTTTCTCATTGTTCTTCGGTTTTCCAGGCTTTTTCTCTTTCTTTTCCGGCCAAAGCTCAACGTATTTTCTTGACTTGGTCAGCTTCTTGATGAGCGTTTCTGCATCCACGCTGCCAGTAACTGTCACCTTGTGCTGTTGTGAATCTATGGTCGTCTCATAAACACCTGAAAGAAAAGATTAATAACGTGAAAAACTTAAGAGAACTTTCATTAATTTTGTTATTAATTAGTAATACTTAATAGGTAAGGACATATAGCTTTGCCCTCCTGATGTAACCAAAAAAAAAAAATTATTTATACGAGCAATATATAATATAATACATATATACCATCAATTGCTTGAAGAACTTTCTTGACTTTCTTCTTGCAGCCTTCACAATGGATGAATACTTTCAAAACCCATGTCTATAAAACAGTAAAGACGGGAGTCAACTAATATAGAAAATATTAAACACATAAGGCAGTGTTGGTGTACCAGAAATCGGCGAAGGAAGAAATATTTTGTAGATATATATGTCTCACCTTATACTTCAGTGCTCCAGAAGCATCTTGATCAGCTGCTTTAGTTGCCATCTCAGAGAGAGAGAGAGAGAGAGAGAAAGGAAAGGAGTGTCGATAGATGGTGGGCGAACGCCTTTATAGAAGAAAATGAGAAAGATTGGGAGTTAAAAAAAAAGTAGTAGTACTAGAGAAAAGCAATACACAATGCAATATTTGGTGTGAATTGCATGCTCACGAGCTTAATCACGTGACTTTCTATTTTCTATGGCTTTCTTAACTTCTGTTACCTGGCTCAGATTGATTACTTAATTAGCACTGCTTTTAAACCTTAAACAGCCAAATTAAGAGTGGCTAATGACTTTTGGCAAATTACTGGCTGTCCTTTTTGATAGGTAATAACAAAATCACAATATTGCATCCTTGCAAACAGTTTGTTTTTGTCGGTTTAGAAAATTAATTCCTTGGTGAATTTACTTTTTACTTCACTTTCTATGGATTTTAGACTTCTGCCAGAAAGAAGCAAAAGTTTAATAGTATAGTAATAAATAATTGAGCAACTTTCTTTCCAAAAGGCTGGGACAGGACATAATCCTAATCTCGTTTTACCCCCTTCCAAACCTAAACATCCAACTTTTATCACAGCAAATCCAATTGAAGAAACACACCCCCCCTTTCACCGTACCAATTATTATAGTCTTGGAACTACCAAGTTTGAATTATCATCATTTCAATTAATTCTGATTCTGATGAGTCAATCTTCTAATTCATGGCACTTCACCATCTCCGACTACCATAATAAAACCACTGGCTATGACTTGATTCATATTTGATTTGTAAGTCTCTTCAACATGGAATAAATTGACCCAATTAATCTTATTAGACACCAATATAATCCCCTGTTAACTGTGTTTAGTCTTTAAATACCACCGAATTCATACGGTTAATGACCCAGAAAGGGTAGTTAAAACCTCACATATAAATATACATATATAAATATCTACTGCTTTCTCATAGGCGGCCGGTTGGCAGGGACCATTATGATTTGCCATCTCCCTCCCAACACGTATTTATATTGTCCAACAATCTGCCAGACACGTTTATTTCACATGCCACAAATTACTCAGATCATAAACCCAGACATAAAACAACAGGTGTTCCCTCCCTTTTCCCATTTCTGTCTTGATAATTTAAACTATTAGTTATTATTCTCATTTATGTCAGACATCTCAATGAAAAGCCCAGAGCGTAACAATACAAAGATGATCTCTCAATTCGTCTACTTCATGCTTTCAACATGAAAATATACTTAATAGAAAAAGGAATTAACAAAGTTATCTACAGAATAAATTATATAGCCATTGCAAACTTGCCAGCTCTGAACTAATCCACTACAAGCAACTTTTTAACTGGTTATGCTTTCTAGTAACACATCTCTATATGGAAATAAAAAGAAAACAACCTTCACTAAGCAATTGGCACTTGGTATATATTATCTCAAAAATGAGGACAAGAAACTTTCATGGACTTTCTAAATCAGCACCCAATTCTCTAATAAAACCTAATCTCCCACTTTGTTTAAGCCAATGGCTCTGCCTGAATTTTATGGGTAGTGTGATTTGTGAGAACACTTGGCACTCAAAATAGTACTTGCTTTTATGTCCCTTGTACATAACTAATGCAAAAGGAAAATGTTTAAAGTCTGTCATCCGAATCTCAAAAGAAGAAATCAATAAAATCTGATGGCAACAGTAACCTTATTGCGGTACACAACCTCACTGAGGGGGACTTATCTCAGGAGTGGACCACTCATGGTAAAGAAAAACTGGAAAAAGTCACATTGCTAAAAGTTTTAGTATTCAACTTGACCAAATGAAGCAATAGGATAAGTCAAGGCAGTAAATTGTGAAGCATATTAAAATTGGGAAGTATAACTCAATTAAGGACTATCAGGGACGACCAATGCAAAGTAGAGAACAATCAAATCATAAAACAAGGCAATTCAAAAATGTAGTAGTAAAATTCGAGTATGTTATTGAAGTAAAAACAGATGAATCACATTCACTTATCATGGGGATAGAGAAACTTACACAATCAATCTTAGAAAGTAATCTGCAGCCAAGGATGCATTGTGCATGAGTTAATAGCAAGCAAAATACCAGTGCCCCTGGAGAATTATGGAACCAAGCAAGCTGAAATACTTTTCCACTACAATCAATGAAATCTCTTCAGCCTGGTGTGAACCCATTAAGGCTGCATCAGCAACAAACAAGTATCTACTTCCATGGTCCTAAAATATTAAAAGGAAAAAAAAATTCCTTACCAATCCCTTCTAGAGTATGCAAATCCTTAGAAACAAGTTCAACCTTACATCAGTTGTCCTTGGTCTCAGTGACAATATTGTCATTCACATCTAAAAGTAATAAATGATTATTCATACAAAGAAATTTAAACAGAAAGTTTGAGAGTAACTCTTAGTTTCTTGGTATAAAAATCATTCTGTTACACAAAAAGCCACTTCAATATTTACAAGTAAGCAATCAAAAGAAAATCAACTACATTCTACAACCTTAAGTAAAAGGTGCAGTAGTGAATTCTCATGCATAAAATTGGCAAGGAATAAGTGCCATTCATCTTATTTGCTGTCATGTAAAACTACAACGATATCACTTCCTGTCATCAAGAATAGACAAGTTTGAAACCACAAGTTGGTGGTGATTGTAGCACCTATAAATTACTAAAAATTCTCTTGCCTGCAAGAACACCTATTACCACACCAAGAAGAGCTGACAAGGCTCCCTCCCTTGAAAGCCAGAATTCAGTCCATGTCAAGGGCCTTTTGACCTGCAAGAGTACCTCCCTGAACCTTTCCTGCAAGTCCTGAAGTGATCCAGTGTTATCTATCACTATGTCTGCTTGGCTCCTCTTCAAATCTAGAGACATCTGAGCATTTATCCTATTTTTGGCATCCTCCTCTGTCGATTTATCTCTTTCCATAAGTCGTCGAAGCTGTGTTTCAGGATCTACCCAGACAATAACAATGGGTTTTGTCCACTTATCCATCTTGGCCTCAAACAATAATGGGATGTCAAGAACGATTACCTTATGACCTTTTATCCATAGCTGCAGAATTTCTACAAAGATGCCATAAGATATATAGGGAGCCAATAACCTACAAGAAGAAAATTAACCAAAATTTGAAATCAATATAATCCGCAACTTCATGACAAGGTAAATGATGATACATAATCTAGCCTCCGTGCAGATAACCTCCAGGCTCTGGGCATAATGGACACTACATTCCCGACATTTAGCCTGGGTAAAATGAAACATCTAAGAAATAGAATTTGACCAGCACGACTTACGGATAAGAGGGCAACATAAATTCCAATTGCCTTTAAATAGTTAAAAGCAATCTCCTAGGTGATCATGATATCAATTTGCTATAACATCAGCGCCATAAGGGAGTAGTTGAGAAAACCATGTATATAAGCAACTTAAAAGAAGACCAAATTTTACACTAAAAAGTGGATCATATTTTGCATTTTGAAGGCAAAATTCCAACCTCCATGACTAGTAGACTACCAGAAAAAGTATAGAGAAACAAAGTCTTTAAAGCTATTCCAAATATTAAGCTGACCAAAAAAAAAAAAAAAAACGAAAATTATAGAAAATTTACCGATTAAGGAGTTGACGTTTGGAGGCATCAGAGAAGACGATTCGGCCCAATTTCAAACGATCGACTTGTCCATCATCTTGTAAAATGTCCGGCCCAAATGCGGCAACCACCTTTTTGTACCCGCCGGTCTGTACCCGCCGGTGCCCTTCTTCAACACATCCTGCAAAACCAGAACTAATAGTACTAGTTAAAAATGTAATCTTTGACTTCGTCGAACAGGTGGTGGGCAAAAAAGAAAACGAAAATAAAATAATGAAGTGAAGAAATGGAAGAGTACACGAGCGATGACGTCAGCATCGACAACGGGAATGTTGTTGTACTTGAACATGGAAGAGACTGTAGTCTTCCCTGATGCAATCCCTCCGGTTAGCCCTACTATCCTCATTTTCACTCAACCTCTTTCCTCCCTGCTTCAGTCCTTTGATGAGTCTCCTGTTTCCTTCGCGGTCTAACTTCCCTGTTAATAATAATAAAGATGACGTAACGTTGCTTTTTCAAGTTAGAACTTAACGGGTTATTAACGCTGTGCTGATCTGGTTTTGTTGTATAATTGTATCCTCCCACGGGACTGACGGGGTTCGATTTCCCGGGTGCACAATTTTTTATTAGACTTTTTTTTGTTTTTATAGTACTTTGTTGTTTGGTTTCTTGGAAATGAACTCGAATACGCATTCTACCTACGGTGGAATTCCCGCTACGACCGCTTGCAGTTCCGTTCTGTCCTAACACTGCTAGAAACCAGCGACCAAAAGCGAAATAAGAAAAAAAAAGTGGGAGATCAATTCACGGTTTTAGAACTTTTTGCCCTGCCCATTGAAAGTTTCCTTTGTGGTCGATTCAGTACTTTGCTGTTTTTTTAAATCAATTCACAGCTAATATGTGTAGTTGGTTTTCTTTTTTTTTTTTTTTCATTTTCCTTTGGTTGGGTTTTAATTAATTTTCTCGGCCACCAAAACAGAAACATTAACCTGAAACAATGGCATCGTATTCAAACAGAATCCTTCACTTGATAAACGCCTCCACTTCTCCTTCTCACATTCATCAGATCCAAGCCCAATTCATTCTCCGAAATCTCCTCAAAAACCACTTCATAGCTCACCATTTCATCAATTCCTGCAACTCTTTAGGCCTTTTAAATGAAGCCCACGCCATCCTCGTCCTTTCAAAACCTCCCGCTCACATCTTCATTTACAATTCCCTCTTTAGAGCTTTCTCCCACTCTAAAACCCCAGATCTCCCTTTTTCTTTATATACCCACATGCAAAACGCCTTCGTTTTGCCCAATAACTACACCTTCCCTTTCCTTCTAAAGTCATTAGCCGACTTCCACCAGCTCCAGAAAGGCCAAATGGTTCAGACCCATGTCATAAAATTGGGTCATTTCCATGACATTTATGTACAAAATTCCCTAATGAATCTCTATGGATCGTCTGGTGAAATGGGTTTCTGTCGCCAAGTGTTTGATGAAATGCATAACAAAGATGTTGTTTCGTGGACTATTTTGATTACTGGGTTTAGAAATGTTAAAAGATATGATGATGCTTTGATTGCATTTGAGCAAATGCAATATGCTGGTGTGTTACCTAATAGGGTAACTATGGTGAATGCATTGGGTGCCTGTGGTAGTTTTGGTGCTATTGAAATGGGGGTTTGGATTCATGATTTTATAAGGAAAAAGGGGTGGGAATTGGATATGATTTTAGGGACTGCTTTGATCGATATGTATGCAAAATGTGGAAGGATTGAAGAAGGGTTGAG